CAGTGGATTCACAAAAGGACTACGTGTACACAACGAGCAACGAACAACAGCAGGTAAAGAACAGTTCTGGCTGTGGAGCAGAGTTGGCCTAGCCACACGGCGAGGCATTGCAACAGCTTGTGGATTTCGAGATAAATTTGTGAAGATGCCACGGGCTGCTGTTGCCTTGCAGATTCCCACTGCTCAAGGCAGGCTTGAGCTGCATCTCCGCTCATGAGCCGGTTCGCTGCCGTGCTTGCCGTGGCTTGCTTTACAGTCAAGAGCGCGTTTTCCCAGGGGTCTGCGCCGGCGAATCAATTAAGTCCCACGCAGGATTTTATTGGCTCTTTGACAGCGATTGCTATCTAATATTGATCGATTGTGGAATAATTCTACCCAAGTATCTGCTTGCTTGCCTACTAACTACATACCCTACGTGGTATAAAACTATGCATTGCTTAATTGATTTTAAATAAGAGGTACACAAATTTAATTGGTGATTGAAAAGAAAATATTTACAATATGGGGGCCTGTAGTTTGAGTCAATAGTCCGATATTTGACTCTTGTCAAATTTTTGTTCTGTTGCCGTTTTGTAGAGTGTTTGTGCCTTGAAATATTATGTAATCCTAGCATAAAACTTGCACCTAATTTGTATAAACTGTGGAAGTTATGAATTAATGGATTCACCGGATGGATGTATCGCAACTCCTTTGGATGTTAACTCCCTTAAAAAGAACATTGGGGTAATGCCCATGGCCATTGGTACCTCTGAGCCAATTATGTCAATTTCATATTCCTATACGTAAATATATTGATAATTTGCTATATAGGAACGGCATTCAGTTGTTTGACGCATAATATAATTTAATTACCACATGTGTCATTCATACCTTCTTTATAAGCCGCTAAATAGATGCATGGATTTTTTGCTTTGTTTTGACTGGATTAAATTGCGCGCAAAATCTTTTAAATCTCAACCCCGGACTAATGCAATAATGTTTAACGTCCCCCAGAATGTTTCCATTACAAGTATCTACACTTGCGTCCCGTCCGACACGGAGTTTTTTTTTAGTGCCAGTCGCTGAAACCTGACTCCACGCTAATTCACTGTAGGCTGCCGCTCCCTGAAAAGAATAAGCTGTCTCTTCCCATCACCCTACCCCCCACCACCGCCTGCTTCCTCCTCGACCCACAAACCCTGGCTCCAGCAAAACAGGTCCCCCCCCCCTCCTTCTCACTCCAATCCCTTCAATCGCAAGCCCCCCTTCTCTCCCCCTCGTGCACACACTCACACACACGCACTCGTACACACACGCACACACTCGCACACACACTCGCACACACTCGCACACACACTCGCACACACACATGCACACACTCTCACACACATGCACACACTCGCACACACGCACACACTCTCACACACACGCACACACTCTCACATACACGCACACACTCTCACACACGCACACACTCTCACACACACATGCTCTCACACACACGCACACCTCCCTCTCTCAACCCCCCCCTCCCATCTCTCTCTCTCCCTTTGGCCCGCAAGCACAACAAAGGGCCCTGTGTGTGTGTCTGTCCGTCGCCCTGTCCTGCCTGTCAATCGGTGATGGGGGGGGGGGCTCACAACACCAGCAAGCCTGCCTGCCGGCTACAACCCAAGATCTCTTTTCACTGCTCGGGCTACTAGGGCGGGGGGGAGATGGGGGGGTGTTCGTGTGCCCGGGCCCCGGTATTTGTCAATACGGGATTAAGCTCATCATTACAGAGGGGAGTGCAAGCTTTTGCCCATTTGGCCAGCCTACTATATGGGAGTCTAGTGTCCTCTCCATCGGGCAGGTAAAATAGTACTCGTGAAGCGAATTTTATATATATATCCATTGTGTGTTCTGGTTGTTTATGGTTGTTGTTGTTGTTTAGGCATGGATGTCCAGATGTTTCGTTTCACTTGCTTGGGAGGTTCTTAAGTATGTTTGTTGAACTCCTTTCACACTGTGTGTAGCCAACCGTGCTAATTGAAGTTGGGTGGTAAGGGCAACAAATGAAACGGCAAAAGCAGTAGCAATGAAATGATTTTTCAATATAGATTTAAAAGTGCATAGCGCCAGTGGCTTCCTAACGTCAGAAGGAAGAGTGTTCCAGACGGCTGCAGAAGCGCATCAGAAAGCGCGCAATGCAGCGACCGTCTTTACAGGGAATGATGTTCCGAGCACTTTGAGCAAAAACTTGAAACCTCTTGTGGAACTGAAGCCCCCCCCCCCCTCCTGCCAACTCTCGTGATTTAATATGCTCACTTAATTAATTTGCTTAAATTCCATTCGCAGGAATATCAATCTATAATGTGCAAATTGTGTGTTATCTATTTGCTGCCCTGCTTTCTATGCGCATCTTGTTTCTGTCCATAGAAAGAGAGTATTGTTGTTTTTTTTGGACGATACTGTGCAAAGAAATTGGGGAGGTTTTTCCAAGTCATTCCAAGTAGTGTGCAAGTATGAGTCCCAGGTCTGCCCAAGTGAGACCCAGGTCAGGGAGAGAGGCAAACTCGATTGTCGCCACTGAGCAAAATCGGGGAGTGAAACGTACCTGTCAGACGTTGCAGAATAAATATACCAACCGCCATGCCAACCGCAGACCAGCAGACATAATCGTGCGTGCATGCGTGGGTGCGTGCACGCGTGGGTGCGTGGATATTACCGTAGAGGGAAGCGTCGTTGATTTTGACAGTCAGAAAGGGATGAACTCTGCTAACTGCCGCCACAGCGCTGGGAGGTCCTGGGCACACAAAAAAAATGCGCGCGCCCTTAAGTCTTAGCCTGTGTTGCTTTGAGCCGAATGCAGGAGCAGGTGTGGCGTTGACAGATGAACAGTCGTCTGTACATAACTTCATGCACAGTGCGATACCAATTCATGCTTCTTTGATCTGCACTTAAACTGTAAGGAGATATAGTCGGAACCTTTTTTATCTTATTTATTTCAAACGTTTTTTTTCTTCCAATTCTTTCCGTCTCCTTTTTTCATTCCCACCGCATGTCCTAGTCTGTACAGTGTTGCAGCTCGGCTGCATCGCTGACTGATTACCGAATGAGCAAGCAAATGGACTCTGGCCAACAATGACAAATGCATTATCATGACGACGCTCGCACACATGCAGCACGCTGGAAAACAGGAATATTTTAAATGTGAGCAACGCTTAAAAAAAAAACCCAAAGGTATAATAATACAATGAATTGTTTTATGGACAAACGCCTCGCCGAGTCCTAAAACACTTTTTCAGGAGGGTCCTGCATTGAGATGTTTGGCCAGTGCCGCTAATTTAGGCAACCGGAATACTTAGAATAGCCACGTGTACGTCGGGATACCGCTCAAGCCTCCGCACGGATACATTCAGGAATCCATGACACTGTTGTGGTCTGCCGGTCACATGTTAGCCATAGCCCTTGCCTACAATACCCTGCTCTTCCCCAGGCAGTCTCCCATCCAGGCTCAGTGGGCCCATTCGGAGTGATTTTGGTTGCAGGAAAGATATGGGTTTAATAAATACGATAGAGCCGTCCTTTCGCCAAGACAAACATTCTTCAATATAATCAGTAGATACATGCAAGCTTGCTGGAACAAAAACAAACTCTGGTTTAGCCTCACAGTGTCCAGGCAATTGATGTGAGTGAGCACTAATATCCTGGTAGGGACCACTCACAACTGGCTGCCTTTGTCTCCCCAGTGTTGTTGTTGAGCGTGCTGCACTGGCTGAGTTGACCTAGGGGAATCCCAGCCCATGTTCACATAGCGTTTACCAAAACTGACACACACATTTGGAAAGTCAAGTATAAAGTCGGTGTATCTCACCGCTTGAAATAGCATAGGGCGGGCACTCCTCTTCACTGGTGGTCCTGAGCCAGTGGTGGACATTCCACATTCACGTTGCTGGGGCCAGTACCTAGAAAACAACCACCGTTCACATCTCTCAAAGTGGTAGAGCTACTCGTGTTATGAGCTGTTACAAAGGTTAAAATAAAAGGACGGTAATTGAGAGACGCAGAGCTTCCTACGCACCTGCGATGTGTGAATGCGCCAGCTGTGAGAATACCTGGTCGGGAAATGTGCAGGTGGTGATGTGTGAATGCACAAAGCATCATCCCATACCGCGTCTTGACCAAACATTACATCAGCGTGGGCTCCGAGGGCTCCCAGGGGCTCGCCAAGGGCGCTCGTTTTAACCCCGAGTCGTCTCAAAGGCGGTGGCGGCGAGCGAGCGACCACTTTGAGCAGCGATGAGTGACGTGCGGTGAGCACGGCGTCTTGAGTGCGTGAGCTTTACAATGGTTCTGTCCGCACGGGCAAATATCTCATGTGTGCAGCAGGTTCCATTTACGGACGTTGAGGATGGGGGGGGGGGGAGTTTGTTCAGTCCATTGTGTGGTTAGCATGTGGACATGTTTTTGGATGCAGTTGTTTGAATTGTGTATAGTACTATGGATAAAACAAGAAATGATGTGACCTCTCTCCCAATGTTGGGTTTATGGGTTTGTTAATGCACGAATGCATGCGTTGTCCAATGAATGCGATATGAAGGCGCATGTGATGTTATGGTGGTGCATGAGCCTTAAATACATTTGGGAGAAAAAAATTTCAACATTCAATGATATTCAGTAAAAGTTAATCTACATATTATATTGTTCTTTTGGAACTAGAAATATTCTGGTAATTGAAATATTACCGTTTATTGCATTATTTACCTGGCTGCACTGATAAGCGTGGTCAAGTATGGTCGAACATCCTCCATGACCATTGGATTGACAAAGGGCTGGAAATTATTACAATTATTTCATATCGTTAATACCGTTGTTTCGCTCCCTAAACGTGCAATGGTGAACATCATAGTGCTAGCAATAATAACGGATGTTTAAACTGTGATGTCGGCGTTGATCATGACTGACACATTTTACCTTGCGGACCAAAAAAACACCGTCCTAACCCTTGTCACTTTTTTTTATTGTGTCTTCTCAAACAGAGATCTCAGCATGAACAATCTGACCGACATCCCCGCTGGTGCCTTTCAGCAGCTGAAGTTACTGGAGGAACTGTAAGTGTGATTGAGTTACATTACACTGTACCTCGCACTGGGCGATGCACCCTATTGAGGCACAACGCCAGAAGTACATGACACACTTGTTTTGTGCGCAGCTGGCATTCGGTGCCGCGTGTCGCCCCGCTGTTAACATTTCAACGTTGTACACACTCGCTCGTAATCGTGTGTAATTACCACCCCCGTGTGCAAATGGAATCGCGCCGGGTTACAATCGCGGTCGTGTTTTATCGCTGGCTGCCGCTAGGCTCGGGAGATTCAGGTTTGCGAGTTCGACTACCAGCCTATAAGGATCGGTTCAGCCCATCATCCCTCCTAGGTTAAACTAAAAAAACTATACAATTTTTATTTGACAAAGTAAGGCCCACTAAGCTAAAAAGCTCTTTTTGAGAAGCAACCTGGCCAAAGATGACATCTCAACAAAGTGGTGTATCACGTGGACATTTATAGCAGCCAAAATCCTCTCAACGCATGTTTCTCTATATGTGTGGAGGGAAAAACTGGAGGACCTGAAGAAAAATCCATGTTACCAGTGGTGGGGGAGATAGACATGCAAACTCCAAATATACAGGCGTCAAGGTCGAGATTGAACCCACGATCTCGTGCGTAACAGCCCAGGGAGTTATCTCGCCACCGCAGCACCCAAGGTTAATAAAAATGAGAGCTCCTGTGTGCAAAATCTTATGGAGAGGTTGGTTCCCACCATAGTAATGTGGAATTTCCACTGTTGGCTCAGGGGCCACCAGTAGATATGAGCACCTGAATGATTGTTAAAGCAAATATGTATTTATATTGTATACAACGAGCTGTAAAACTGTTGTCTTTGGGGTGCGTCACCACCGCTTATTATAATACGATAATTATTTGTAAATACGTGGCTTTGGATAATTTTTCAAATTAAAATCACCTTCTTGCAGCAATACTCTACTGCGCAAGGTGTGTGTGTGTAGTGACTGACTCAGGGACACTAAGAGTAGGAGGCACTCTGCTTATTAACACGGCCTGACAGTAACACTTAGCAACTACGGTTCCTAGTCAGGACAGCTGGCAGACTGCCTGACTGGCAACGTCGCGATGGTGAAGGCGGTGACGGTGACGAAGACTCCAGCAGCACGACAGAAACGACAGCCCCGAGCTCCCCTCTCGGAGCCCCTCTTATACTGTCAGCGTGTCCTGGCTCCGCCCCGGCCACGCCCCCTGCTGGAACCTACTAGCAGGTTCTCGACGTGCCCCTTCCGTGACCTTTCCCCTACATCCCTCTCTCTGGTCTATCACGTGGCCTGCTGCCAGTCAGGGCTGCTGTAGCTGCAGATCCCCTTCACTGCCAGCAACAAGCGCTGTGCTGCTAAGTGACCGATTCTATGCCACTACACACGTATGCTAGTCCAGGTGTTTGTTGGCTCAACAGCAACTAAGAACATTTAACGCGGTGTTTAAATGTAAAGTACAGTGCGTGGAACTGCAGGTATCCGAGCCTGCCTCTTTTTGCATATAATCGCATGGTTAATCCTTTTTATGCATATAATCGCGTAATAATATACAATCACGGAATATAATTACCTCTTTGCGCATATAATCACACCATTTCATGCAACCAAACGTAGACCCGCCCTGCTGCCTTCCACAGTTTCGCCTTTAATTGCGCAAGCGCGCATTTTTGTTAATCGTTTTGGTTTGGCCGTCGGAGTCAATCGTCATCTGGGCCTCACCGTCATTTGAAAAGCGCCAAATCTCGCAGCATTGGATGGGAGGCTGTCTTGTTCCGCTGCTGTCATGCGGACAGAAAGCGAGGCACCACGGAGTAGTAAACTAAAAAGTTAAAGACGTTGTTCTGCTTTTAAACCCATCCACTTACCGGGGTCCAAATATCGCCTCTGGCTGCAGTGTGATATGGACGAAAAATCATTTATAATTGGAGTACAGTCAGCTGATGGGAATTTAACAAAAAACAAAACCTCAGGCCCTAATGTTTGCAAGAGGGAAATGTGTGTTTGCGGAAGCTTGCCTCGCCGAGCAAATTATATTTGTTCTTCGCTGCTAAAATAATCAAGGTACAATGAGTAAATGTGTTCGAAACTCTGGTTAAAGTTTGGGAGGCTGACTGATGCTCTACGTAGGGTTTTAATGGTCTGCTCTAGGTCACAAATTGCACCACAAAACACCCATCACTTGAATTAGTTTTTTCTCCAATGTTTGCCAAAGCCAAGTTTTTTGAGCACTTAATGCGAAACCACAATTTGGATGGAACTGATAATTCCATCTCATTATGTGTATTGAGAGGGGTGGAGGGGTGGCACAGTGGTTAACACACTGTGCCTCTGAACCTTGTGACCTGAGTTTCATTCCTGGCCACGGTTAACTTAAGTGGCAAGTAATATCTGAACTGGTCGTGGCCTCTCCCTTCGCCAACACATACCGACCAGTACAGTGAAGTATGGTCAAACAACCCCCTGACCAACAGTATCTGCAGGTCTCCTACGGTGGATTCACAAAATACTAATAATTATTATTATGACTGTTATTAACCAGGCATGTGGCTCTTTAGTAGCAAGTAGGTCGATGAGTTAACATTTTATTTAGGGGTTGACTCGGCGAATCATCACTCCCGGGGTTGTTAAAATAAGTACTACTTCATGTGTAAGTCAGCCGTGGGTTTTCTAAAGATAGATTCACTCCTCCAATAGCAAAGTGGAATTTCCAACAACGAATGGCTTTAACCAGGAGATGAATTACCGACGAGGTAGGACAACATTACGGCACATTGATTAAAGCCATGCAAAGTAAGCCAGTGAGACGGCAAAGTCATAATCAGAATATTTATTGACACTGGAGGAATCCGATGAGCTATAAAGCTCTTTTTTCCACAGATGTCCGGTAGTCCGTCGTCTTATGAGGGCGGCCACCGCTGCTGCCCTCCTCCGCAGCTGGCGCGCGGCGTGTGTGCCCCCGCCCCGTGCGGGTGCGGAACGCGAGCTGGCGCGCGGCTCGCATTGCTCGCCGCCCCGGGCGATCCCGGCTCCAGGCGCTCGCGGCTGAGCGGAGGTGCGGAGGTGCGGCCGGATGCCCGCCCGTCTCCGCTGGGCGTGGGTGCAGCGAGCCTCGTGTAATTGATGACGACTGCCGCTCGGTGACATGTTCTGCCGAGAGCACCGTCTCTCGGCGGCTGCGCGGGGCGCCTGTTAAGGGTCGCAGAGCTGACCTGCCGGGAGGGCTCGCGGAGCCAAGCGGAGGCATCGAGACGCGTGCGCAGCTGCCTGCCTCTGCAGCAGGGTTGGAGCATTTGGTCTCCTCTTTCCGTGGCTTTGGAACTCCCATCTTTCCTCTGGCTTTTAAACCGTGTGTAACCTGACTCGCTGTCACACTCGCCTACTTGTCCCCTGCCCTAGCTCTGTGTGTTGCTGGCTGCTTTGCATGATCTATGAAAAAGAGCTTCATGGCTCATCGGATTTCTTCAGTATAAATTAATATTCGGATTCTGATCAACTTTGGGCGATGGCAAAAGTGGTTCGTGCGCAGTGCTATGAGCCTGACAAACCCGAGTTTAATTCCCAGCAACGGCTCGCGTATGTGGAGAGTACCTCTGTTCACCAACCCACATTGACTGGTGCGGTGAAGGTTTGGTCACAAATTCTAGATTTGAAGTTTTTGTGACTGCAAGGGTCCATACTCTTTGGTTTTTTCGGTAAAGTCACGTAGGTAAGCAAAGAAGAAAATAAAATACATTTATTTTTTAAGAAGAAAATAAAATACATTTATTTTGTATTTTATTTTTTTACCTACGTGACTTTACCAAAAAAAACAAAGAGTATGGTCACAAAACCTATGGAACTTCATGCATGAATAACAGAAACTTGACCAAAAAGTATGCGGAGGCCTTCATCCAGCAGTAGATTTACAAAGGGCTTAAATATATATTTTTCAATATGTGACCTGGCTACAATTCAGCGATCACTCGTAAATGTCCAGGAATATTGCGAGGAAGCATTTTAATAGGACTTGCAATAACCTCTCTTCAAAGGCACTCACTGCTGTTGCCTATTAGCAATAATCTTGGGGATTGTAAATATTTCTTTAGGATTCTTCTGTGTCTCCGGTCTGCTATTGAAATGCATTTAAGATAGACATTCCATTTGGTTGTTTACTTTGCTCCAGGGTACCAGACTTGAAGACTCTCATGGTCAGATTAGTAGGAAAACCAGAAGGACAATAAATCAGTATAGACCAACACTCTAAGGCAGGGCCTTGTTAAAATTATATACGTAGAAATAAATAACAATGTAGTTGTCTGGAAGTGGTCATGACAGAGAGTCGTAAAATACGGACAACTATTGGAAGTTAATCAGGCCTCCTCGCTAGCCTCCTGTGGTTTATAATCCGTAATGAGCTGACGGAGATGGGATGATCTGGAATACTTTTAAGGAATTTTTTTTAGCGAGATCACTTCAAAGGAAGTCCATATCTATTCCCTGTCAAGTGCCTTCACAGCCCATTCAGTGCGAAAACTCATTTATCACATGCTCTTCATCCATTTCGTTCAACTTGTATTTTTCTCCCGTTCTTCCACCAGCCAAACGACACGTTCGGTTTCCTTGGAGTAGACTTTGCAATGAGAGATATCTGATTAACATCCTGCAAAGCCATCCCCCATCCATTGTGTTGCTTTATGTTGACCTACCGGGAGCCTCCTGCTTGCTTTCGGAGCTGTCTACAAACACGCTGCCCTGAAATGGCCAGCGCAAATTCCTTTCCCTTTGCCAGGGGCGACGTGCGGCTGCATGTTAGCCGGAGCCCAGCGTGATTGCAGGAGCTCCAGCTTCCAGGCATCCTGTTTACTCAGGATATGAACGCGGGGCTCGCAGGGCAGGCGGTGCAGTGCAATTAATCAGGAAGCAATTTGCTTTTTGGAAATTGGCAAATATTTTCAGTCACAGAAGATTGGCTGACCTTTCCCGCTTGTGTTCCTATAGCTTCCCCCCCCCCACCCGAGCCGATGCAGCCAACCGACTTGCACATATACATCCCACCCACCCGGCCTGCCTGCCCAGCCATCACAGCCTCTCTAATTGAATTTGGGCTTTGCCTGGTTAATTTTAATGGAATAAGCTGGCCGGTGTATAATTAGCAATGGTGATTGTTGTGTTTAACTGGGAACGGCTCCGCCGAGCTTCTGTTCTTTTCTCAGCCATGGATGTTTGGACAAATCCGTTTCGAGGGATGTTTATGAGTGGGAGGAAACAGGAGTGCCCGGAGAAAACCCACGGCCGATTTAGGGGGGGGGGGGGGGGGGGGGTAAACACTCAAATGTGGCACGTACTTGCTGTACTGCCTCCTCCAGGCACCGCCATGTTGACCTGGACACGCATGATTGTTCCATATCTCTGGGATACACCCCTCAAAGTTGCTGTTTTACAGTTTTTCACTTACAGAGTAAACATTCTATAAGTAAATTCACATAGATAGGTTCAAAGAAAATAATAAAAACCTACGACGTTTCGATCACAACACAAGTGTTCATCATCAGGAAGAGTGAGTGAACAATTGAGTTTCAAATACAGAAGGCACGCACCACACAATGTTACCTGAAGTAAACTGCAACATTTTATGCTTGTCAAATATTTCTAAATTATGTTACTATAATTCACACTCCTTTGCCAATCCACTGCTGGATGATGGCCTTCCCTATACCATATTACTAAGCGGTTTTTTTATGAATCCTCACACTGCTCAGTGTGGGTTGGTGAGGGGGAAACCCAGGACCGGTTCGGATAACATTCACCACGGATGGTAGCCATGGGCTCGGGTCCGAACTTGCCGGGTTCATATCGCAGTGCGCTAACCCCGATACCGCAGCCCCACCGGACTCCAGCTGTATTTGCCACACACACACACTCGGGAACTCGCCACCAAACAGGCAGCGGTAGAGTTGATGTTAGTGTGGGACCACGTTGGGCATTTTTGTTTGAGACCATGACAAAGTGTCTTTTTATTCGACCTTTGATGATTCACCCGAACGCTCTCCCCTCTCGCGATTAGATTCATCGTCATAATTCAAAACGTTTTGTTTACCTTTTCTGCCGGGAGTTTAGCAGCATGGTGTCATGTAGACCTAATTCTTATGAGGTATAACGAATGGTTCTTGAACGCATTGTTCGACACTTGTGTCTCGAGTCCTAGAATTGATTTTAATCAATGAATCTGCATCCTTACACCGATGCTGCTTTTCATGGTGTTCAACTATGTTTGGACTTAAGCAGCAATTGTGTAGCCCATCGCACCTCTTTCAGACGGCGTCGGGCTGAATTCACTTTGTGATATCATGGCTCTTGTTTGTGCTAAAATAATGATGTATAATTTATAGATGCTATATAATACAGTGGCTTGTAAAATGTAACTAAGCCCACCCAATTCACTTGGGTTTAATATTACCTTCCGGTTATTGTTGGAAAAGAAAAATGTGACATCCAGACATGTGAACTTTTGGTTTCAGCCTCTCCGTTTCAAGTGAGATCAGCTCGTCATTGTTGTGTGCTTTTTGCTTTCCTGGTCACATTGCAATAAATCCGACGACGGCCCACTGCACATGACCAAACAATCGCCCAGTGCCACATTGAACCTGTATTCATACGGTATGGTACAGGAGGTTATGTTTACTCATATCACTTACGTACGATGAAGAAGGACGATTACCCATAACGTTCCTTATTTTTCATTTTTTTTTCAATTTAAAGCCACAGTGCTATTGATGAGTGTGAGTATTTTTTTTTAAACATAAAGAGAAAACTACGTTTCATTTCAAAGCCTTTGAGCATCTCTCACCAATCTCAAGACGCCCGTTGAATGTGTTAACGTTGAGTCCATTGCTTCGTTCAAAACGCAGCAACCGATTGTGTTGGTGTACGCGTGAATGTTGCCTCCTTTGTAGGCGTTTAAAATCGGATTGTGGTGTGAGGCTGTAATCACTGTATTTGAAAGTAAAAAAAACAATCACTCATCTGCAGGAATGCTCTTAACGGTTTTAATAAAGGAAAAGGCAAAATAAACTCGCGTGTAAAAAAAAAAACCACCCCACCAGCACAGACTAACATTTGCGGTAGCTTCAACGGTGGTTGGCTAGGGAAGTGCCGAGCGAGGAGAGTGTGTTTTCTGTGCTGTCTTCTCAACGCGTGGGGACGTTTGCTCGAACCAACACGAGGACAAAAAGGCCTTGCTTAATTTAACCGAGCTGTTCTAACAAAACGTCTGCATTCTTGAACAACTCTGCTGTGTCTATGCTCTCTGCAATGCAGGCACCTGGCTGGAAATGACCTCTCCCACCTGGCAGCTGGGACCTTCCTGGGCTTGGAAAAGCTGCGTGTTCTGTAAGTGCTCATTCCATTCCCTTTTGCTTGTTTACGCTGGTGCACATTCATCGGCTTTGTCATAGTCAGCTTTGCTGCCACCGCCGCGGTGTTAACGGTTTAACAAACTGGACTTGCAATGCAGAGGTTGCCTGTTCAATCTCCTGGTGGTGCAAGTTTTTTGTAATGCTCCCCCCCCCACCCCTCCCTCTGTCCACCCAGCAGTAGAAATGGCCTTACCACAGTCAATTGGCAGATGGAGTGCCAGTGGGGTAAAGTGTAGGTTTTACCCACCTCTTCCGATGTGTTTGGCAAACATGCAAGGATCGGGGCAAATCCCCTCTCGAGTGGGGGTGGGCTCTCATGAGCTCCGTCTTGTCGAGGCCCTGCCGCCAGCAGCGATGTGAGCAAGCAATTACAGGCCTGCACTTTTACTGCCTTTTTAAAACAGTGTAATCAGAAACTGCTTGGTTTAATGTTTCTGTTTACTCAGAATACGCACAGGGCTGATATTTTAATGTTGAAATTGCGCCCAAAGGCTTCTGCTAGGATTGCAAGCGCATATAACGAATAAAGATTGAGCAACCTAAACTCAATTGAAATAGGGGAATCAGTGCTTTAGACTATATTGGCAAGATAGCCATCTCAGGATTTGGAAAAAGGCAGCTGTAATGGAAACCGAGTTGTTAATGAAAATGCACAGGGCTTTCTTTTGATCTTTAAAGTTGGATACCGCCATGCATTCTCATGCAAATCTTTTTAATCCTCAAATAGCCCAGCCAATAGCATTGTCTTCTTGTCTTCCGACAGACCACATTCGTCAGTATCCGGGCATGTCTAAAAGAGCGGAATTGTGCACAGACACACACAGAGAGAGACACATTTTATGTACTTTTACATCTGAAGGTATATAATTCGTAATAATGTTTTACCCCCGTTGTGCTTTTCACTGATTGACGTTAAGGTTACGTGTTGACTTGAGATTTCTACGACTACAAACTGTACCTCGTACGATCTCCAACATTGCGATGCATCTTACTACGTGCTCTCAAGTCCATTGTGTTTTCATTTTTATCTAAATCCTGGCTTTACCCATTTACCACGACACACACAACACACAGAAAGGGAAACTATGAACCCCCCCGTAGACATGCAGACTGACGAGAATTTCTTTCTTTCACGGCACTCACGAGAGTTTGTGTGGCTGGAACCACAACCGCTGTCAATCCACTGCTGGATGAAAGACCTTTCCACGCCGTGTAGGTCACGGAGCTTGTTTGACCAGGCTACTCAGTGTGGGGAGATAAAGGAGGTGATGGGGGGGGGGGGGCCAGGGGACAGGACAAGTTCTGATATCATCCACCATCGATGTTAGCTCTGACCGGTATTCTAGTGTTGCACTGTTTGTGCGTTTGAGCTATGGAATGGTTAAAGGGTTTGTTGTTGGGTGGTGGGGGGCGGTGGGGCAGCCACGGTCTATGAGAGTGCGAGTCACATGACCACCTTGCCCGCCAGAGGGCTGCGCTTGTGAGCGGCATCTGGCGTGGGCTGTGGGCGCCGCTCCACTTCATTAATCGCGGGCGTTCACTCCTGCGCATTCACAAACAGCCCGCTCGCAGACAGCGCCGTGTCTGTGTTTAGCATTCCTGAGAGGTGCCCACCAGTGACGAGACAGACAAACATCTCCACTTCGTGCTCTTTGTCTGTGTCTATGGGGAACGGTGGCGCAGTGTTTGGTGAAATGTGCGACAAAACCCGGTGTGCTGAGTTCAACTCCCTGCCATGGCTGAGTTCACAAGCGAGTCTTATCAAAAATTTGTCCTCTGCCACCCATCCCCCTCCCCCCTTTGCAACCACATGTGGTGGAATATGGTAAAATCGACATATGGGGAAGCCTTCATCCAATAGTAGATTGACAGAGGTGGTGGTGCCATCCATACCACCTGTCATGGGATGTGTAGGCCTTAATGTGTTTGCTAACAACAGTTTTTCCGACTTTCTATAGGACTATATAAGGGGCTATGTATAGGATGATTTAAGGGATCTTTATTGCATGTGTTTTATGCGTGTAGAAGTTTATATGGAAGGGCCAGGAATTAGAGAAAATAAATAACGAATGGACTTGAGGAGTGCTTAGGAAGATTATATAAGTATCAATTTACTAATACCATGCGAGCAGTCATAACAAAGCCTTTTATTTACTTAATTTTATAAATAATGTTGATTAAATATGCAACCGTATACGGGTGCTTATGCCGAGCACTGCGCTGTAACCCCGGTGACCTCGGTTCACTTAGGAGAAATGCAGTACATTAGGGGCAAGCATTATGTAAACCTGTGCCGAGCTTATCCGAGGTCAACTCAACCTTAACCGGGTATGATGTGTGAATAGCAACACTGGGGAGACAAACGTGGCCAAGTATAGTGCTGGTCTTACCACCTATGCTGGCCTTAATAGGTTCTTGCTCACCGAACTTGCCCTTACAGTCTGTTGAGGCTATATGGGGTCCTTTGTCTTTGATATGGGAAAAACAAACAGTTTTGTAAACCATAATTATAATAATTGCTATACAGGAAGAAGGCCTGTATGTATGTTGAACTTCTTCTGCACCGTATGTAACAAACCGTGCTAATCGGAGGTGCGGGGGAAGTATAACATGAACAACATCTCCGTGATATGTTCTTCACCATGCTGGTTAGTGCAAGTTTCTGAAGAGGAGGAAGCAGCCAGAATAGATTAAAGTGTCACTCGCCACTGGAGTTAGTGGAGGTTCGGAATTGAACCACGGTGGTCGGATTAATAGCGCAGTGCGCGCTAACCACAACGCCGTCGATTCTTCCCTTTTAATATTTTGTTCAAAGTCGTTGCATAATGTATTGCTCAACCCAGTACACTTCTCTGTATTGACATGCTATGCTTCTATCGGGTCAGTTTAATTGCTGAACAAAACCATATATAGCGATGTATTATTCACACATTTTACAAAATGTCTACACTTACGACCACTCGCATGGTGAGGGTTATCCTATTTTATTATCATCATCTTATTAAGTGCTCTCAAGCCCGTTTGTGATCTCATGTCTCTAACGCCTAGCTTCATCCAAAAAGCAAATTAAACACAGCTGGCTTTTGTTTATCAGTGCATATGTGAATCAGCAACGGAGACACTGACAAATGAAATGGATCAAAAGCTGAACAGTTTGGGAGGAAGCTTGAGAGATGATTGTGTGGAATTACACAGAGTGACAGAATGATGCGACACGTCGATCAGATACATTAAAAGACATCCATTCAGACTGTTAAGAAAAGTAAGTGGGCTTGGGTAGGACTCGTCACTCGAAGGGACGATAGCCGGTCGTCCAAAACTAACGACAGAGTCGCTGCCAAAAACACACTTGGCACGTCTTCTTGGTTCTTTCGGTAAAGTCACGTAGAATGGAAATAATAAATAATAAAAATAAAACATAATAAAATAATTCTCACGACGTTTCGGTCACAACACAAGCAGCCGTCCTCAGGTGTAGAACAGGTCTGTCGAGAATCCCTGCAGTCACGAAAGCTTTAAATCGAAATTTACACTTGGCACGTTTACTGCATCGATGGAACATTGAAATCGTCTCTTGCAAGAGAGACATGGATTGTTATGTAGCAAGGCCACGAGGAAATGATGGGGGCTTAGGGGGGAGGCTTTCATTCAGCAGTGGATAGCTCATGGTACATGTTGATGCGTATCTGCATAACCGGCCACTTTGTGCAAGTGACAAAGTGTACTTAGGGTATGGTAGCAATTATATTATTATTGTTGCTATCTCGATGATAAATCGTGACCGAGATCGCAGGGTGCATGGTGGTAATGGCGTGGATAATGACAACACCGATGATGATGCTGATAGGTGTTTTTCCAAAATGTTTCTTGCTGTCTTGGCCGGATGAGCATTCCAGCTTTTAATCCTAGTTCATTTTTATTTTACATTTTTTCTTGGAAATTATGGGGCGCGTCCTTGGGAGAGCTTAAAGTTACGTAAATAAAATAAAAATTCCTCCACGCTACATTTTTAGGAGCGTCTTCCCACCATCCCTCTATGGAAGGTTTGGTTTTAAATTCGATCAGTCCAAACTATACCACACAATATCACGAGTTGAATAGAATTTAATGAAGAAGCTTACGTTAGGAATTGTGTGCCACTTTCGGGACCTTTTTCACAAATGTATATGAAATGGTTTAAAGCTTTCGTGACTGCAGGGATTCATATTCTTGGTTCTTTCGGTAAAGTCACGTAGAAGGGAAATAATAAAATAATAAAAATAAAAACATCGTGAGAATTTTATTTTTTTATTTTTTCCCTTCTTCTTGACTTTACCGAAAGAACCAGGAATATAAATGAAATAGCTTTATACCTGCAAATAATTTCACTTCGTTCAACATTTTCCGACAAATAAATTTCACAAGTTCTATAATCCTTAAAATTATCTTTCACTTAGTTTCAAACATTTGACTCCTTGAAGCATATTTAAAAAAAACCCTTAAAAACACAAATATCATTCTTTGAGAATGGACCGCACACAAATGTTGACACACGGGGCTGTAATAATTACATTTTATACACGCAAGAAAAACATGGCGTTTGGGCTTGTAAACATTCTTCGAAAAGCCCGCTAAAATAAAGACTATAATGACGTTGCACTTTTCTATTTAAACTTAGGCACTGCACCTCTAGCGCCAGTCGCCTCGCGTAATCTCACCGCGATCAGCGTCTTCTGTGCGGATGGACCCACGATTGTTATGTCTTTCACAATCTGCAGCCATGCGACCTTAAAGCGGCACTGGGCAAAATCGTGGCAGGGTTGGCGCGTGCCCGGCCTGGGGGTTGGGGGTATTAATTTATTATTTCCTCCCCTCGAAAGGGGGGAACAACTGCACACGCTCACCCAGTAGCTAGCGTGTCAGCATTTCAAGTAAGGTCACCCGCGCAGATAGCCGCGTGAGGCACAGTGGAATTGTACGATAACAGCAAGAACTCTTTCACTCCTAGCAAACACTGCAGGAGGTGGAGATAACGGCCGATACACAAAGGGCAGCTTTAACATTCGATTGTGCAGACTTGGACACCCCGCGTTCCGCGCAGAGCTACGCTTAGTCCAGAATGCAATGCTTTGTTGAGCACAGCCAGGTGTCAAGTCATTCAAATGTGCTATCTGGTTTTCACTTAACACATGGCATTTCCCGCACATCCAATAAGCACGGTTGGCTCTACGTAAGGTGTGAAAGAAGTTCGACAAACATACGTTTGCGGGATAATTTATTTTGTATGCCTGAAAGTCAATCGGCTGATTTGTAGTGTTGACTTGCTGGAGTGAGGCAATTGATCTAAGCTTGTTAACATTCACTTTGGCCACACTAAATGTGCACATTAATAATTGATGAGCAGAAGAATTTACATGCCGTTGTGGATCCACTGCGGGATGAAGGTCTCTCATGTATCGATCACGGGGGTTGTTTGACCGTACATCATCACACCAGTCGGTGTATGTTACATACAGAGTGGGCAGTGCCTGGGGATGGTGGCATTTGAATATAAATAGATAAAAATACCAAAAACGTAACTTTTGCCACTGCTTAGTTCCTGAAGAAAACTCCCAGCACATGGAGTAAAACATTAGACATCGTACAACCCAAAAACACATTTTGAAAACTTTATTTGTTCTTCAAATCATAAGTAACATTGTGGTAATTGAAATATGCGTTTAATTCCAAAATACATGTTTTAAGTCCATAAATTAGTCTGTCTTTTGGACTTGGGCAATGCAAACCCTGGACCGGTTTCAACCTTTCTGAGTTTCATCAGCAGTATATGGTCCCATTTCGATTTAAAGCTTTCGTGACTGCAGGGGTTCATCTTCTTGGTTCTTCCGGTAAAGTCACGTAGAAGGGAAATAATAAAATAATAAAAATAGAACATAATAAAATACAATTCTCACGACGTTTCGGCCACAATGCAAGCAGCCGTCCTCAGGTGAAGAACAGGTCTGTCGGAAAGACAGACGCTGTCGGAAAGACAGACACTGTCTTTCCGAAGAACAGGGCTGTCGGAAAGACAGCCCTGTCTTTCCGACAGCCCTGTTCTTCACCTGAGGACGGCTGCTTGCGTTGTGGCCGAAACGTCGTGAGAACTGTATTTTATTATGTTTTATTTTTATTATTTTATTATTTCCCTTCTACGTGACTTTACCGAAAGAACAAAGAAGAGGAGTATATGGTCCATTAAGCAAACGACCCTGGGTTTTCTGGCGCTATAGGCAAGAGCACTTTGCCATGCACAGAAATTGAGGACAAATTGTACGGATATCTCTTACCGGAACGTGTTGGAAATTTTTTTTTCTTTAGTTAATGCTCATGATTTTTTAAATAGTTTTTTTGGCTTCGGTTAACAGAATAATTGTTTGTACTATGACGGTCAGTTCAGTTTCACATCTCAAAAATAACACCGCACTCCCGTGATCGCATTAAGTGAGCTTGTTACACGGTGATTCTATTGCTTTTAGGCATCGATTCACACAAGGGATCTTCTTTGCCCGAGTCATAAAACAGAAATAAAAACCTAATCGGTTTCTCTGCGGAGGCAAATTTATAGCTGTGCAAAAGTCTGTTGAACTGGATCAAATCTTTTGCTTGCTCGAAACTTAAGATCCCCCCACCCCCTCAATGAATGATGACATAGAATTTGACGGCATGCACAGGGTGAATACAAACGCATGATGATACTTGGCTGGATTATTAAACTCAACAAAATCTATCAATTATAAACTTTGCAGGTCAAATCCGAGGTTCTAATCCGTGTTCTTAAGTGTAGGAAGTTGGTCTCCAGCCATCAGTGGCCATACAAAAGGCTCACCATGTTACATTCCTCAATTGGCTAGATTTCAGCCCTGAGAATTAAAAATACCATTTTTAATGCCATGCGGAAAACATTTATCTGCGCAGGGAGTGTGGGGAATAGTGCAATAGTGTGGATAAAATATGGATATCAGAATTTAGTTCTGATGTCTTGATGTTCTTGTACAGAGCCCTTCTCTAGCGCAGGGTGAGCCATTGCTCTTGGGGAGGATTGCGCACGGTCGGTTTGTCTTTTTTATGTTCCACAAATAGAACAATTGGAATGAGAATATTTAAAAGTAAAATCGGTCTTGATGAGTTTTGATCTGGCTATAGGTGTACTCAACAAAAAGCATGCAAACGTTGATGCAAGTACTAACAAAATGTTGGGTGTAGTAGCACGTGTTACATGCAATTAGCCAAACATCCCAAAGCAGAATCCTCATGGCTAAGGTTTCTTTAGACTTAGTATGCATTTTAGTTATAAAATACTTCATAATAATACTACACAGCGATACACTGATAACGGCACCATGAGAAATGGAAGGCTATGATGATTTTTTGTGGCCTACTTTTCTACGTTGGCCAAACATCTTGAAGAGGTGTGAGTGCCCACACTTTCCCCCACCACATGCCACCCGCCGATGAATTAAGTGTGGCGTGTACCAATTTATACCGCTCGGTGGACAGAGACCCCGGGGCATTTAAATTGTCACTCCGGGTGATCGAACCGGCGACCTCTGGATGGAAAGTCCATTGTCCTAACCGTTACACTGTGACGACATTTAAAGCATGCGAAGCACATTAAATTACGATGACGATTGCATTTGTCCTTGTGTGCTGGGTGCAGGATGCTGCAGAATAATCAGCTGAAGATGTTCCCCACGGAAGCCCTGCGTGACTTGCCCTCTCTCCAGTCGCTGTACGTCTGACAGCGTCACATTGCTCACAACCCCATGCTCTTCGTGGCCATTCCAGTCACTTTTCATACGAGCGTATACTTATACACACGGATCCCACTTCCTGGCTCTACCATTGATGATTATCTGAACCGGTCCTGGGCTTCCCATAGGTCGCATCGGCCTCAATATGAGTACCTCGTCTGTGCGGTGTGTAAGCATCGTCATTTGGGAGACAAAGGCGGCCGAGCGTGGTGCTGGCCACCCACCCACCCCCATCGTGTGCCGTGCCGGCCTTCATAGTTGCTCGCGAACAGCGCTTGACCCAAGAGTGTAAAGTCTATAAGGGGTTGTCTCTGCTGACGCTTCCCCTGTACATTGATACATAATATACGGAAGTGGAGGCTGGGTTGCTGTTGCACTGCGATACGATCCCAGAGGCCCGGGTTCATTTCCTGGCCATGCACATCATTGGCAATCGGTGTCTAAACTCGGCCTGAGGCTCCCAAAGAGCGCTTTTCAGCCTAAACCGGAGAGCACCTGGTGTAGTGTCAACATGAGCACTCGCGAGAAATATGTGGCTGGGTGCGGTGCTGCTGCTCCCACACCTACTTCCTCGTATGTCACGCTAGCCTTGATAGACACTTGCTAACATCCACGTACCTCAACAGATTATTACATTAAATGTGATATTTTTGCATCATGTGTACAATCAAACTAATAATAATGATTATACAAATGGAAGCTGATTAACCCACAAGGGTGTTTTTTGTGGGCATAAAAGGCAAGGGCGCAGCCCTGCAATTGCTTGCTCACAACACTGCTGGTGGAAGCGCCTACACCCAGAGCGAGCACTAGAGAGCCCCTGTAAGAGGGTATTTGGCCTACTCTTCCTCGCTCGCCACATGTCTAGGAAGAGCTGGGAGCACCTACGCGTTTTGCGGTCGCGGCTGCCAAACAGTACGATGTGAAAGGAAACAAGTGTGTCGTTGGAGGCAGATGCAATGCAGGGTCGTACATTACAAACCGCACACACCGTGTGTGGCCTGTGCACGCTTCAAGAGCTGCAGTGGCTGTTCGAGCAATTGCTCTGCACCTTACAACCCAGACAAGTGCCCCCTATAGCATGTGCTTGCATTTGAAGATAGTTTTTTTTTTCTATTGAACACATTTACCCTGTACGCCCATAACGTTAGGTTTCGTGGCATGCGCTCGTGCCACGATCGTATAGTTTGTATTGCTAGTGGAGCTCGCTGTGTAAGTGCAAGGCTATTTAAAGGGGTAATAGGCAAGGAAATTGGTGATTTCTTTTCTTTCTCCTTTTACATTTCATAAATGTGTTTTTGATGAGTGTATAGGTCATTTGGTTCTCAAATATAGTGACTGATATTCTAAAAGTAATTGCTATTATTTTCATTCAAATTTCACAATCGCGACTACCAGTGAGTGCCTCCTAATACACTAAGCCGATAATTTTCACTTGGTTATGACCAAGATTGCTCATGTCTACTCTGTAGAAGAACAAAGTACCGTCAAATCAAAGTCACATCCGCACATCTCCTTGCTTAAATGAGCTCATCTCCATTAATGGCCCTGAGGCGTGGGTGGACATTCCTCATTCCTATGGGCGGGGCCAGTCTGTCCACGGAACAGCTCACGATACCTACTGCAATGCAACAGCAATAATAAGTAGAAGAAGAATGCAGGCCAACTATGCTCCTTTCCCATGAGAACATGTCCCTGCCTTGACAATTCAAGACGCGTTGACATGACACCCCTGAAGCAGTGAAACGTCAAACTGTTAGAGAGAGAGAGAGACACACACGCAGACAGAGAGGCGGAGACCGAGAAATGAGACACCGAACGCCGACTCCAATGAAATCCTATCGCCATGAGATCCGCTTAATTGGCCCGGGTAATATGAATGGATGGTTGAAATTTAAATGTAAAGTGCCCTTTTTAACCAGGGTGTATGGCCTGCAACGACAACCTGGGAACAGCACTACTGTGCAATGAACGCCAAGGAGGTAATAAATACGTGGTAATCTTTGCGGTGTTTAATTGTGGTTCGCGCGGCAATGTTATCGGGCGTCAGGGCAGTTGGGCCAGGGGGTAAAAATGCCTGATTTAAAAATAAGCCGCACTCGGATAAGTCACCTTTAGACTTCGCGCAGTGAACCTGCACGCTAGGAATTAATCCTTTTTATTCCTTAACGTCTATGCGGATTTATTTTGTTATGATCCTGAGAGATTCCTGTAAACAATCCATATCATTTAGAACAATACTTTTAATGTATAAGATTATTATAAATTGTTTCATAGCTCCACGTAAAACAAAACATTATTTTTTAGTCCACTGACTTTACAGGCCCTGTATTTCACGCGATTAGATTTTATGCAAAATTATTACTAAAATGAAACATGTTTTTACATTATCAGATATTTTTGCTGCCGTTTATCCAACGGTCGATTAAATAGGTACCACTTTGTGGAAATCCGAAAGCAGTCCTCGAATGGAGAGACTCCCCCTCAGCAATAAGAACAAGGAATTTCCACCATTGCCTCAAGTCTGCCAACAGATATGAGCGCTAACTTCATTACTCCTATGGGCAGGGAGACACTGACTGTTTAATGTATTGTCTTTTTCTCTTGTTTAAAAAAAAACGTTCTACTTTTTTAAATCGTGGGTAAGTCTAGCCCTTTCGCACGGTTTTAAGAAACCAACTCTCTTTACATTTAGGAAACGATGTCTTTAACAAGGTCACGTAGTTGAGAGGCATGTCTCCTGTCCCCATATCAGAAAATGAGATCAGCGTGAGGTGTCTTTGACAGCTGTGTTTTTTTACTGTGGCGAATGCACCTCCGGCGCCAAGCCCCTGCGATGGGCTTTTTTTTGCCGTGTTGGGCTTCCGTTGCGGAAAGCAGAGAATAAAAGAAAAACTGGTGTTGTGGGTATCAAGCGAAGAATAAGCAAAAATATAAATGGTCTGAAACCATTCTTTGTCTCCTCACCGCGCCTACCCCTCCCCATCACTGCTGCTTTCCGTAAATCATGCATGGCTGGATCTAAATGGAGTTTAAACGGATGGGAAGAAAATAGTACTATCTTTTTGTCCATCTGCGGAATATAAACATTGCGCAATATATTCTTTGTGTCTCTCCGCTCGCCGAAGTGAACTGTGATCCGGAGCCTCCAGTGCGTGCACAAGGAAGAGAGAGCTGTCCTTTGCTCCAGTTCACCAATCTTGTCCGCACACCCCCCCACAGCCTCATGGGGTTACTTTTAAAGAAACAACTCCTCTTGAATTCCACGGACCGGCAAACTCCTCTTGTGCTGACCACACCCGAAACGTTTGTTTCGCCCGTTTCCCACGAAACGTCGGTTATTGTGTTTACAAATTGTAAACGCAATTATCTGGACTCTCGTTTACGTCATCGACGTTTACTTTAATGTTTTAAGGTTTAGAAATACTCTTGAATGGTATTTTTTATTTTAGGTTTGTTTTTTGGGAAGGAACATTCAACATTTTGCAGCCAAAATACTAAACCAAAAATGCAGTCGGTGTCTTAGAGTACTCAAATTACGTAATGCTCATTTGGCAGTTGGGCCAGTGGTGGAAACGCGGCATTTTTATGGCAGGGCTCGTCTTTCCACAGAAACAAACGCCATTAAATTTTGATTTAAAGCTTTCGTGGCTGCAGGGATTCATATTCTTGATTCTTTCGGTAAAGTCACGTACAAGTGAAACAATTAAAATAGTAAATATATAAAACAAAAAAATTCTCGACTGCAGTCGAAACGTCGTGATAATTTTAATTGTTTTATATTTTTATTCTTAATCAACGTTTTTGGATTTAGATCGCGTTATTTATAAATGTGTCGTAACCCTCCACCACCCGACACGGCCAATCAGTAAAAAATGTGTCACGTTGACAAAGACAAATAGTTCACTGCTTTAGCCCACCGGTGTGTTGAAGCCACAACATTTACAATTTGAGTACAACGTTTCGCTGGTCATTGCAACCAGCATCATCGGGCAATTCGCCAGAATGGTGAGGCTCTGCTGTGTCTCCCGTTCTTATATAGAGCAGCAGCAGGGTGACGTCATCATTAACTCATTAACTCCCTTCTACCTGACTTTACCGAAAGAACCAAGAATATAAACGCCGTTAAATAAAAATACAAAATTGTGCTTTGCTTATATCGACGGTGGAGGTAGCTGGATTGTCAGGGGCATGTAGCTTGCACCACTAAGATTCTGCTGCGTATCCTGACTTCGGTCCTCTGTAGTTAAACTGGGCCTCCCATGGGTAGTTGGGTTTCTGGTTTCAACCCGATCACCAATGGCTGCACATATTTGTCAGTTTGCCCAATGACAAACACCTTCATAGCAATACACGTGAGAGACGGTGTTACCCAGTATGGATAGGAAGCAATTGATGAAGGGCCTTCTTCACCATTGTTCTCCAGCTGCATTTGTCTTGGCAGAAAACCCCTAATTTTGAAACGTGATTAGCATCATCGTTAAGATACGCACAGGTTAGAAACAATGCTTCTTCATGTCTAACCTTGAGGGGCCATTCCTATTTTGTATTTGATTGAAACATCAGCAAGCACAAAACACCGTGCCATTTTTTGTCCTTTAAACATAACGAGCACTATGCCTCTTCTGAATAAAAGTAATGTTGAAACGCGCTTGCGCGTTCCGAGATTCGGCGGTGAACGGGACACCTCACCCTGCGACTTGCAGATGTTATGGAACAAGAAAGGGTTAATTGACCGAGCTCCCTTGCTCGCTCGTTCGTGCTCACTGGAGCATTTCTCCCCGCCGCTGTGACCGCAGGCGCCTGGACGCAAACCACATCTCGGAGCTGCCGGAGGTGGGGCTGGAGGAGCTGCGCCAGCTGCGCCACCTGTGGCTCGACGACAACGCGCTGACGGCCATCCCCGTGACACCGCTCAGCCGCCTGCCCTCGCTGCTGGCGCTCACGCTCGCCATGAACCACATCACGGCCGTGCCCGAGCGCGCCTTCGCCAACCTCACCAGCCTCGTCGTGCTGTGAGTCTTTCCCGACGCTTGCGTGCGCACGCGCTAGCTTCCCCCGCCCGCACAGTTCAGTTGCAAGTGGCGGTTGTGGTGGTGTTGGTGGTGGAGTTTGCTGGGTCATGCAGAGGACGGTGAATGCGTGTGCGGGAGTGGTGGTGTAGCAGTTCGCTGTGCTATGAACCAGGTGACACGAGCTCGATTGCTGTTCATGGCCCAACACCATTGACGATTGTCTGAACCGGTCCTGGGCCTCCTCTAGGTTGACTCGGCCTCAAATGAGTACTTGGTGCGATGTGTAAACATCCCCACTAGGAAGGCAAAGGTGGTCTGACATGATGCTGGCCTTGTGTGGTGCACTAGCCTTCGTAGGTGCCCGCTAATAGCACTTGCCCCAACAGATTATATATGGGGGATCTTTGTCTTTTGGGAGCGATAGTGTCGTGGTTAGCACATGGCGCTAAAAGACTGACAACCTGTGTTCGAATCCCGGTTGTGGACATCATCAGTTATGATTATCTGAACTTTTCATATACCTCCTCTAGGTTGACTCGGCCTTAAATGAGTACCGAGTGTATAAACATCTGCACCAGGGAGACAAAGGTGGCTGTGTCGATCTTTTATAAGTACTTGGGAATGGCATTGCCCAGACAGTCTGTCTTTGTGATGTTTTGCCACGGAAGTGCCCCGTACGGAGTTTACTTTACTCTCTCTTAACCCGTTATTCATTGTATAATCACTTGTATAATCACTTAACCAGGGCAACATTATGCTCACTTCTTTGTCACTGCTCCCAAATACACCACACTCGCACCAACAGACACAGACACACAAGAGTTGCTTTGGTCTCTTAAGAGGAGAGAATGATCTTGATGGTTCATCTGACTGGCCTTTTACATTGTTTTTTGACCGTCTTTTGCGTGTTTTTTCAAATGTTGTGCTTTTTTCCTATGCTTTTTTAAAATTTCCTCCCACACGCACAGAAACCGTTCAGAGGCCATCGCCATAACACCACAAGTAGAACCCGTGTTGACTGTAATATATCTGGTGTTTGCCATATCATTGGTCACCCTAAAAAATCCCAAACGTTTTTAGGGTTCAGATTAGAGTTATTGCTCGAGGTTAAGACCCCTGAATTTAAAGCCCATGAGGTGGATGATATGGTAAAGACCCATGTTAGCACAGGCAATTATTCCATACCATAGTGGCTTTCATACGAGGAGTTAAAACTCAGGCCGGGCTGATTGAGCTTTTGGCTTAGACGGTTAAGCTGAAGGTAATAAATGTGTCAGGGGCGCATATGTGCGCTTATCTTACTCCATGTATCGAAAAAAAAATAGTCTGCCTAGTTAGACATTTAAAAGTCAGCCTGTGGCGAGTATTACTTACAGAAATTTTGAAATGGGTTCTTCAGAGTTGATGATAGGTGAAAAGCCTTGGGTCCCATGCGTTTATGTATAATTAAAGTAAGATCTCTTGAATGAGCTGTCACTCTTGAAAAGCTCTTCCCTGGTTTATGGGAAGCAGGATTCACATTGCTTGATGTAAGAATTTTTGCCTAGTGCATAAATTAAGCACATTTGTATATGTGTGTGTCTTCTAGTGGGAAGTGGTACTGTAGTGGTTGGTGCACTGCGCTATGAACCCATCGACCCGAGTTCTATTCCCGCTCATGGCCAACATCGCTAATGAGTAGCTGAGCTGGTCCTTGGCCTCTCGTAAGGTCGACTCAGCCCTAAATGAGTACTTGGTGTGGTGTGTAAACATTAGCGCCGGGGAAATAAAAGCGGTCGGGTATCCGTCCTCGCCGCACCCCACCTCACCCCTCTTGCACCATGCTGACATTAATAGGTACACGCAAACAACACTTGCCCCACCTGACTATAAAAGCTACACAGGGGACTTTGTCTTTGTGTATTGAGGGCAGCATAAGTATACACGATTTAAGGCACATTCAGTAGCAGTGGTGTTTCAGATACCCTCGAGGTGTGTAAACAGTTGATGTGCAACGGTAGGGATAACACTTAACCACACAGAAATAATCTTCCAGGTGCAGGGCTATTGATCGGAGGAGAATGTTGAATCATCTTGCGTAATGTGCTCCTTTTTCCCTAACCACAAAGACAAAGACACGCACATTTCAGCATTTGTCTTGCCTTGCAACACCAGAGTTTATTGCTGCTTGTGGGTTTGTTTAGGATACAGTGGGACGTGCACGGAACAACTCGGTACATAAACACCTGCACTGTCTGGCCTTTATCTCCACTGGGAGCAGGACCCAACTTTAACCCCTAACCTTAAGTGCTGTGATGCCATTGGCTGCCGGGTGTAGTTTTTCATGCCCGCATAATCTCCCACAGTTAATCTTTAACTCTGCACAAACACCCACAAATCGATAGCGTTGTTAAAGCCATGCTTATCCCACTATGCCTGAAATCCATTAAATAATAATAAACACGTTGCACACTTTGTAGAGGTTTTTGTGGATTTGGATGGTTCTTTCCCCCCAAATTATGGATTGTCTGTCCTTCAAAAAATCTGGCATGCGGTTTGTCGTTTTGAATGTTTTTTTTGTTTCTCTATATTATTGCCGAGCGAAAAGAGAAGTTTCAATTAATTGCTGCGTGCAGGTTTACGTGGTTGTGTGATGTATTTCTGGGTTTGTGCTGTGTGTCTTCCACGATCTCGTCAATTCCATTTATCAACTTTAGAAATGTAAGGTTTTGTTTTTCAATGAAGAGAAAGTATTTACGTTTTAGTTTGAAGTTTATGTTGGATGAGTCTCATATTTGCAAGGGTTGACCTGGGTCACCAAGATGATAATAGCAAATAAATTACAGCACTAAATGGGCTAAATTAGAAAACTGTGCTGCATCTATACTGAATTTTTAATATTTATTATAATAATTTCTTATCTCATTTTTGTTTTTTTTCAGACACCTTCACAACAACAAGATTCAGAGCTTGGATCCACACTGCTTTGAAGGACTGGATAACCTTGAGACCCTGTAAGTCACTGGAACCCCCGAAAACCTCTAATTCTAACGACCTTTTCCGCTTTTCCAACAGAATTTTGTCAAAGAATAAATGAACACTTTGATATATTACACGCTTGTCTTTCTGTAGACGAGTGTTGGCCTTCACTGGCCTCAAATTCCTTTGCAATGAATGTTTTCCGACAACATTTTCGAGATTTACTGTCAGAAACCGATATTTCGTGCAAGCTGGTGTTGGCTGTAAATCAGCAGGCCGAGCTACTATTTTAAACAAAAATAAAAATGAAATGGACCGGTGTGGCCACTGTACAACAATGAAAGGTCAGGCAAAGGCAATAAATACAGAAGTGGTAATCATTAGAGTGATTTATTCTCGACGAAGTGGATGGTTTCTTTTGATCAAGACCGTTTACCGTGACAATCCGTCTCGTTTAAGTTGTCTGCTCGAAAGCCAAATCGTTATTACCGCACGCACCAAAAATGTTTTCCCCCCATTACGTTTTGAGGATGTGGGGGGCGGGTGGCACCTCTAAGGAATAAGACTCGATTTGAAAAAACATGCCGAACAGAAAATAAGTATTTCACGAACTAAAAAGAAACAAGATTTGAAGTTTTCGTGACTGCAAGGATTCATACTCTGTTTTTTTTCGGTAAAGTCACGTAGGTAAAAAATTAGAATAAATTAAATCACGACGTTTCGGAGGCAACACAATGTTCCAGTAATTTTGCTGTCACGGTTCCACCTGAAGACGGAAGCTTGTGTTGCCTCCGAAACGTCGTGATTTAATTTATCAAAATTTTTTACCTACGTGACTTTACCGAAAAAGCCAAAGAGTAAAGAAACTCTGCACATTCTTTAATCACACTGCTCTGAGGGACATTATTTGCTCGCCAACGTTTCTGGCAATGGCCCTTTTTCACAGCACAAGCCCTAGAGGTTGCGTCATTAACAATTTAACTCAATATTTTTTATTTTACCAGCTAAAGACCCCACTGAGTTATGTAGCTATTTTTCAGAAGCGACATGGCCACAAATGATAGCAGCTCAATTGAAGTGGCTTATCAAGTGGAAATTTGTAACAGCCAAATACTCTAAATAAATGTTTCTAAATGTGGGAGTGGGGGGGAGGAAACCTGACGCCCCGGATAAAAATCCACGCAACCACAGGGAGAACGTACAAACACCAAATATACAGGCGTCCGGGTCGGGATTGAACCCATGACCTCCTGCATACCAGGCGAGGTAATTAACATCTCGCCATTGGGGCGCCCTTCTCGCCACCGTGAAGGTCATTGTCTAAAAACACCACCTGTTGTGGAACGTTCCTTTTAAGACTAATATTTATGCGATCTAACCCAAACTCACATTCAGTGTTAAACTGAATGTGAGTTTGGACATGTGCACCACAGCTTACACAGTATGGCTCAGTAATTTGTTTATGCTGTTAAGGTAATTGATGTCAATGACTGCATTAAATTGGATGTGAAAGCACACACATACGTGTGATAAATACATTAACATATTTGCCGTGTGTATACTTGTGGCAATTATTGAAGGTGAATTGGGATAAGAATGACGATCGAGGCATGTAAGAACAGGTCGGAGAGCTTTTGCGAATCTGAACTTGATAATGAAAAAGCAAATTAGCAGTGTGTCTTGAGAAGAGTACACGGTACCTTCTGTGGCGTATGGATCAGAAACATGCGCACCGACAAATAAAGGAGAAGAAAAGCTGAAACTTTCGAAAAGAAGGCATGAATTAGAACATCTTAAGAGTTGCTGAAAGACAAAACGACAAACACATGGATCAGAGAGCACATTCATCCACTACAGATGATATTGCCTGTTAAGTAGAGTGGCTTAAGCACGGCACGCGTCGCTGTTGGGGTTACTGGATGACGGCTGTCGACTGACAGCGGAGCGGCAGCATAAGGAGGGAGTGCTCCCGCGAGGATAGCCACCTGTGGAGATGAGATCAGCTCTTACGTCCAGGAACCAGATAGATTTTTGCATCGTGATACAGTGAGGGATGGTGACGATTAAAAGAGACCTTCATCCAGTAGTGGATGGATGATAATGAAGACGTATGGGAGGGTGGGGTGGGTCAAGTACAAGGCATTGCCTTTGCCATGCGAGTGTTGATCAAACCGCACAAGAATTGCAGTCGCTCGTTAAGTGTACCGGTTGAGGTATAGCTCAGAGCAAAGACTGCAAATCTTAGATTTATGGTGCGGTGCACTCGTCGCGACGGCGAACTACCATCATTCCTGCCAGTGAAACGTTCACATGTCCGAGCCTTAACATGCCGGCACGGACGCATACGTGCACGCGCGCGTACTGCTTGCGTACCCCCCCCCACCCCCCCGGTGAATATAAGCGCGTGTCGTAATGCGTGTGCGATACGCGGCATTAGCGAGCCATTCTTCACAAACGTCGAGCCTGCATCGCTTGAGAAAAATGCGACGGCTGTCGGTGAAAAATGGCTGCAACCCATGGAGAGAGGAAAGCATTTTGGGTTGAAGTATGTAGCAGGGGAGAGATGCATGGTGATGCTTGACAGCCAGGCAGCCAGGAAAAACATGTGCACTTCACCTGCAGGCTGCTGTCATCCATCAGCCTGTCACGCTGGTGTTTGCAGCTCCTACCCTTTGGGGTCTCTTAAACTTGTGAACCTTTGTAGTAGGAAAATCCGGGTATATAATTTTAATATACGTGTGTGTGTGCGCAGACACGTACATACTCACTGTAATCCTTATTAATCCTTCACATTTACATATCATTCCTTTACCGACCTGCAGTCTGTGTGAGATTCTGTCGTGAATGTTTGTAAATTTATTCTGAATCTCAGTCGGTTGAGCTGTTTCATACAAGATCAGTGTTTCTTGATGGTGCACTGTTTGTCTCTTTGCAAGGGAGATATTTGTCGTCTGAACTGTGTAAAATACGGTGACTTTAGTTGCCATGGTTTATTTCAAAACATTCTGTGCCATCTAAAAAGGCTCTCCATTAGCAAAATTTAGCAAATCGAATTAAGTGAGAGATGGTTTGTGTTTACAAGCATATATATAAATCCGTGCATTGTACAACCGAACATTTTAGTTGGGTTTACACGGTTTAAGGAAACAAACCAAGCTTTCAGGCAAAATAACATGAATTCAAATAAGCGTGTTGTAGCCCATAAAGATTTTCACGTGTGACAGAGACTATTTTAATGCCATTAAAATTGTTGCAGCGGGATTGTTAAACCCGACTGTAAAATTCAGCCCCAGCTCTGTTCGTTTTCTGTTGGCCAAAGTAACATCTCGCCCCACTCAAATGTCACTTTCAGAGCACCCAGTCTGCACTAGTGGATTCCTATAATGAAATTCAAGCAAAGCTTTTATCGCCCCCCGACAATGGTCCCTGTGTGACTTTGTGTTGCCGTGCAGCCGGTCTGTGCCAAGCAGAGTGAGAAGTAAAATGATTGTTTTTTGTTAACATGATTTTAAGTGTTCAGATTTCCAGATGGAAATTAACATTAATATAATGTTACAACTGTGGTCAGTTTCATGGGGGTTTTCAAATCGGTTTTAATATTGTGTTCGTATGACCTTTGTACTTTATACAAAAAGTTTTAAATCCGCACGAACTGCAAGCTTGCTTTGTAACAATTTGTGGTTAAACATTTATTCTTAAGTGTGCTTTGCATGCATCGAATCGCACACATGAGAGTCGATGTGTTCCTTTTTGATAAATGTTGCATGCAAAGTGTTCACACGATCACTTCAGCCAAAAACTGGTGGCTACGTTCACCCACCGTGATTTAAAATCGGTCTCTTGAGTTAGATCGTGTAGGTATAATGTAAATTTCAACTATAAAACTCTGACAAAATAAACCAATTATGAATCGTATTATTGGTCGTGAATATCTAGGTGTAGAATTTGCCACCGTGCTAAAGAATCGATTCTTATAAAATAATTTTCCCAAATTGTGATCCGTCGAATCGCAGGCGGAGGTTGTGTGAATATGTAAAGTGTAACTGTATGTAAATAATAATAATAATAACCATACGTGTTATTTACACAAGAATGTCTTTAGTTTAACGATTGTACATGCAAACATTCAATAATGAATCATTATAATTAGAATAATCTGATTAAGTTATTGCACAGAAAGAATGGCTAACCTTTATAAACATTGTCAGGGGGGGATTGGTGGTTTTTCAGTAAAGTTAAGTGAAATAATTCTTCACCTGTATATACAATTTGGCACCATATTTAAACTAACACATTTCAGCATTTTGAAGGTGAGAAATGATAATCGCATGAAGTGCTGAAAACATTGTACTTTGAAATCAGGAGTTAGGTCTAATATCGAGGGACCATGCCATGCAGTTCTACTTGTTGGCCATTGCTGTGTGCAGTGGGACAGTAGAAATCTTCTCAGCTTGGTGTATTGATGGTCAAAAGACCATGGGTCACAGTGTAAGGTCAGACGCCGGGGGAGGGTGGAGGGGGGAAGGTTGTCTATTGTGACCTCATTCCCCAGCTCTCACACTTGACCATTTGTTTGAGAGCAACTCTGGCCTCTAGTTTGGGAACCAACGCAGCGGGTAATACACGTGGTCCCAAGTCCTCCTGATGCGGCAACATCGTGTCATGGGAATGAGTGTAATGTTCACCCCGTCCCAATGACTTTGTAAGTATGTTTATGCACGTACAGGAATAGCGGTGGCTGGCTCTCGGGGGCTCTCTGCAAAAATTAAAAGTGCCGTATACAGGAACATTTTGTTTGTGTTCTAGCCAACGTGCACTTTATGGTTTTCTGTTTATGTGTTGACCATGATGGTGTTTATTGAATGAGCAAGCAGTTGGGTGTGTCTTCCTGTATAGGCTTTAACAAGCAATGCTTTTTTTATAAGAAGGCAAGCCTGCATTCCGCAATATAAAAAAGACAAATGTATTCCACTCAGAAAGCCATGCCCAGATCATTCCTCAACCTATTTAAAATGCATTACCGTTTTTTTGTCTTTCGCAGAGATTTAAACTACAACCTCTTGAAGGAATTTCCGTCTGCCATTCAGTCCCTTGGAAACCTCAAGGAGCTGTGAGTGTCACCTGTGTGTGTGTGTCTTGTGTGAGAACAGTGGCACATTTGTTGCACAATATGCTATGGTCCTGGCATTTTGGGTTCGATTCCTGGCCGTGGCTAACATTTGTCGAAGGTGATATCTGAATAAAGTCCTTGGCCTTCCTCCCGTAGATTGACTCAGGCTTCTACAACGATCTAGTGCAGTTTGTAAACAGTCAGCACTCAGGAGACAAAGGTGGCCAGGTATGGTGTTGGTCACTATCCACCGCCTTGTTTTCTGCGCCAGCCTTGATAATAGTTGCTCAACAACGACTTTCCCCAACAGTCTGAGGGCGATATTGGGGATCTTTCTGTTTGTGCATTACATCTCCATATTTCCTCTGGGATGCGATGGTGGCGATATGTTAACTACCTTACCTGGTATAAATGAGGTCATGGATTCGATCCAGACCCTGACGCCTCTATATTTGGAGTTTGCATGTTGTCCCCGTGGTCACGTGTATTTTTCTCCAAGTTCCTCCGGTTTTTCCCTCCATATTTAGAATCAACATACGTTTAGAGTATTTGGCTGTTATCATTTTCCACATGATAAGCCATTGCATTGAGATATCATTTGCCGCCAGGTCGCTTCTGAAAAAGAGCTATGTAGATCACTGGGCCTTACCAGGCAAACAAACAAATCCGAGGAAAATGGTTGGGATTTTTTGATGTTGCCAACCTGTCCATGTCACCATTGCTGATGTATCGTGTGAGGTAGCCTTGTTCTTGTCCCCCATATATGCATGGTTTCCTTTTGGTAGACTGGTGCCTTCCCACGTGCAACAATACGCAAGAGACGAATGGCTAAATAACTGCTCTAAAAAACTTCAACTCTAGATTGTTCGAAATCCTTAAAGAGAATGTTTGCCACGGCTCAGGGCTGCTCATGCATGTGAGCACCTTCCAGTGCCTGTTCGAGCATGGGTACAAGTTGACCTTGACTTGCATCAGCTTTGACAGTTGTACATACCTGCTAGGTAACACATGCCCACTTATACCGTGGCATGCAATATTGAGCGTATTCTCCGAACAATGTAAGATGCTATTGCAAAGAAATAGGTGAAAAGCCCTTTTTTCTTCAAAAACACAATTTAACCACCTTTTATCTAAGTAAAAAAACATACATCCAAAAACCTCCAATTGTACCATTTGGTGTAAGAATTTCAGTAAGCCATGCATAACTCCATGGTAGAGAATGTTTTCTGGAAGATGACCTTGCGGGATGAGCTTCTGAGAGGTGCCTTCAATTGTCTCGCTAGATGATGCACCTTCTCGCATGCCCTGCTATGCCGAGATGCGTCAATTGGATGGGAAGCACACCGAAATAAATAATTGCACCTGGAAGAAGCCAAAATTAAACTTGTACGTGATATATTTTTTTCTTCTTGGTTCTTTCGGTAAAGTCACGTAGAAGGGAAGTAATGAAATAATAAAAATAAAACACAATAAAATAATATAATAATTATTTTCTTATGTTTTATTTTTATAATTTTTTTATTATTTTATTACTTCCCTTCTACATGACTTTACCGAAAGAACCAAGAAGATGAATCCCTGCAGTCACGAAAGCTTTAAATTGTGATATATTTGTTCATGAATGCATATACTGAGGCCAGAGCACCCACGGACTCTTGCCACGTTTGCGAACCCAGTTTTAATCGCGCGAGGCTGGCCGCATTCGAACCCAGGCTCTCAGCGGTACTGGCTCTGACATGGCATTATCTTCCCGGGCCAAACAGGCAACCTCACAATTAATCCATATTAAGGCCAATGATTGTGCCAATCACTGGGCGCATTTCCGCCGCCACGGTTGATTTGCAGTCGTGTTTAATTTTAGCGTCGGATCCCGCGCACTTCTCTCCCGCGCTGAAGGCTTAGCGGGTAATCGGCTTAGGAAGACGGCAATTATACTAATCGTAATTGTGCACGTATGTCTTTTGCAGCGGAATTCACAGCAATAACATTGAAGTGATACCTGAAGGTGCCTTTGGAAGCAACCCACTCATACGTATTATGTAAGTGTAATAAATTATGGTTTCATGTTCAGTGTTTGTAAGGCAATCATGGTTGAGGTGATAAGCACGTGTCTAAATTATGAGATTGTATTATCTGTTACAGTTGAGCGAGAAGCTATTGCAGAACACCCGACTCAAAATTGGAAAGTTTATCAGTTCACATCTCAATAATTTGATCACTTCAGGATGTCATCATTTGGCGGTTGATAACAAATGTGTACCAATGTGTCAGAAGTCAACGGTTGGTTGTGCTAAAGTTTAACTGCTGCCTATCATAGGAATGTGGAATTTACACCACTGATTTAGGATCACCAATGAATGAGCCCCAGCACCCCATGCTCATTTAATATGACGCCGAGATAACACTCACTGCTGAAATGGGCGCGTGCTTTACAAATGCCATGTTAATAATATAGAATTATAATGCAATTACTTGAAACGTCAGGTGTTTACGTATGCTCTATCAATAAATTGTTCATCGTTTAAATAACATTTTACATAAAATTATCTAGAAAGACATAGCAAGTATGATTTTTAACGGGAAAACCCCATGCATTTGCTGGGTAAGAAAGTGATCTCTCCTATTGGGCTTGTGGTGGTGCGGGAGCCTGTGTCTAAAGCGAGGGGAGCTGTGGCGAAAGTGGGCATTGATTCGTCTCCGTTTGTTTCGCAGACACCTGTACGACAACCCCCTGCGTGTGGTCGGCAGAACGACGTTCCAGCACCTCCCCGAGCTGCAGACCTTGTGAGTGAGCTTTGGAAGTTGGGTTGTGGGTCGCACTGTGGAAAACTCGCAGTGGGTGTGTTTTTTTTCTGCTTGTTCCGTCATGATATCCTGGTGATGTCATATGCATAAATGTGGGGCATTGTGCTTCAATTGTCGTTGCCACCATCAAAAAAATATTCCAGGGATTTAACCACAATAAATACATTTAGTGGATTTCGCTGGATTGAGCCCAGAGAAGATGATCTGTGTGTGGAAAGTAATGAAGTTGAAACTAAGAGTGGAAAAAGCATTATAATGTGATGTGTTCACCCACCAGAAATCTGCTAAAATGTCTAAGTATGTTTTTGCAACTAACCAGTGTTTGTTTTAAGGGTATATATTTTTTCTTGTCACTCTGAAATGTTTTCTTGGCACGGTGTTTTAAGTAATAACAATTTTGACATCCGTGTAGAATGCGAACTTTGCACCTAAAAAAACACATTTTGTAGGGAACAACAAAGAAAACAAATCCTTGCACAATAACTCCGTACATGTTGCTGTATACATTGTAGATACGTCTTGCCGCACGGTTCATTTTAACTGATGTTCTAAATGGTTATATTATGAAAGCCATGGTAATCATTAACATCAAGTTCAAGTTCATTTATTAGGTATAGCCCTTTGAGCCATTCGGCTCTTGAATCGGGTGCAACCGCAACAAACAAAAAACAAAAACATGAACAAAAAACATCTCGAAGTGAATATGTGACTAAGTGCAAACAGAAAATCCAAGAAAAGACAGCAAAATATTGCAGAAAAAAAATCGTACACCAACGCTGTGTGCAAAAATCCCAGTGGGATGCAAGTCAAACAACAACAACAACCACTTAACTAGCAGGGCACAGTAAAAAAATAATAGAGAACGAACAATATAGTCAGCTCATAGATTAAAAAGCCAGTGTCTCTCTCCTTTAACTCCATTGGTGAACCTGCTGAGCCAGTGGTAGAAATTCCGCATTCCCATGGCAAAGGCTCGTCTCTCTATAGGACGACCACTATGGACTTCCAACAAAGTGGTACTTGTTTTATAGACCTCAAGGAGGATAACAGGCATGATTGATCTTTGACCTTGATTAGAACTTGCAATGCGTTGAAAAAGTTGTTTATTCCTATCCACAGCATCACACGGCAGGATTTAACCATACCATCTGCTGACCCAGTCGCCCCTTGAAAAACAGCTGTCTAACTCAATTGGCTTCACGCTGAGAAAGAAAACTTCCAGCGAATATATACAGAGTGAGCCATGTTTTTAGATACCCCGCGAAAATAATGGGGAGAAACTTGTCTTCAACCAATCCTCGGTACACGCATTCAGTCTTTTGACACTTTGCTCTGGAAGATGTTGAGACATTGCTGCTTTCACGTTCTTCACTCAATAACTGGTGAGAAGAAAGTAAGAGGGGCCATTATACATATGTGGAATATGTCGACATCAGTCGCTCTGTTTCAAATCCCACGGCTAACTTAGTTCAAGTGAGATTTGTCACAGGACCTCGCTATGCTACGTGTGCAGTCCGTATCTCAAATCAGCGGCGTTTAACCAGGGAAGGCGGCAGTGTTTTTTAATGAATTGTCATATCTCCCCCCCCCGCCGCCTCTGTGCTGCGCAGATTTCTCCGTGGTGTGAGCGACATGAACACCTTCCCGAACTTGACCGGAACCACCAACCTTGAGAGCCTGTGAGTTCTGGACACATCTCACTGCGCAGTGGAGCACCTGCCGCCCCACTTCTCACATCCCGTTCGTCGAAGTTTTGTTGTTGTTGTTTGTTGTGGGGAGAGGCTTTCCAGCAGACGTTCCTTAAGTTGCCGTAATTGGTTGGGCTGGTAACAAGGCCGCGTTGGTAATTTGCCGCCCCCCCCCTCTCGCCCGCCCACCTCCAACGATGTGTGTTCTGCAGGACACTGACTGGGAGCAGAATCACCCGTCTTCCCGGTGACATCTGTCAGGCCTTGGGGCAACTGCGAGTCCTGTAAGTGCGGCCGCCCCCACTGCTGACCCTACCCACAATCCTTTTCTTCACCCCTCAACTCCTCTCAGTTTACCTTGCCTGAAAGACGCATTGTCCTCTCGTCGCATGGGTATGCGCAGTATGCTGTGCGTATGCCTCTTCGCATGAAGCCAAATGTGCATTGATGAACATTTTAACAAAATTGTCCGCAAGCAACTTCAAATACATTTCTTTAAGTCCAACAAAAAAATGCTCCACAATTTAAATAGGCTCATTATTAAAGTAAACAATTATTCCATTTGATGTGTTCGAAAGTAATCTGATTCCTGTAGAAATCCCCTTTAGTTTTGTTTATAAACATGTTACATTCATTGAAATCATATACTAATTATTTACAGCACCTTCATCACTACACTGCTGGATGAAGGCCTCTCCACTCAATGGCATCATTTGGGATTTTGTGACCATACTTCAACAAACTAGTCATTGCGGGCTCAGTCAAGTCCTGTGGAGGCCCAAGAATGTTTCAGATCTCCCGCCACAAATGTCAGCCCAAACTGGGATTTGTACTCGGTTCGTCAGGTTCATCGTGCACATCTTGCCGTGTTAACCACAGCGCTCCCACTCTGCACACACAAATTATAGGGTTGTAAATTAAACCTTTTTTTTCGTAAAGAATTCCTCAATAACTCAAGCACAGTTACATGTGATGTGACGAGACAGCATTTGTCAAGTGCTGTCCGTGCTTTGCTCTGCGGGCTCTTTTTGGTGACATTAACTCTGAGGCTAAACTGCTCTGCGGTGTCAATGCAGAAGGGCGGGCTTGGGGGCGGGTGTCTGTTTTCATGACGCTTCGCTCACAAATGCACAGCTGGCTGCGGAAAATTACAGGTTTCATTTCTGAATGACAAAAACAGTGGTGGCGGCACTCAGGGCTGATGCACTGTCACGTCAGTTGCGTGGCCGCTGTCGCCAAAGCCCATTTTCAAATTGACAAAGGTTCTGAATGTGAAGACGACTTCAAAACCGGCCGAGCCACGGCGGAGACGTGGAGTCTCCGTGGCAATGGACAGCTGAAATATAAGGCACATGTGAAACATTTCTAAAATGGTGTCAATTAAGAATCAAGCAAATGCTCTTTTAATGGAATTGGTCAAACATCCCAATGTAGGACATCCTGAAAAGAGTGAGGCTTGGAGAGGCTTTCTTGGAAAAAGATTCAGGCTATTGTTAGAATAATTAGGAAAAACAACAGTTTTATTCACTAACAAAAGTCACGTGAAAGAAATGTTACAATAACTTTCCAAAAAAATACATGTCCAAAACATCGTCTTAAAATATCAGCAGTAAAAAAGTACGCATTATGATAAAATGGTCAAAGACCAAAAGTAGTTCGCAACAACAGTACAATTATAACTTTTAAATAAAGAAATAACACAGGTAATCTACTACAGTTTGAACCGATAGCATGCACTAAAGCGATAGCAGTAACGGTAGCAAATTAGTTTTTCGGCCTGTGTGTTGAACTTTGATCGAGATGACAATTGAAGTGCGGGTGCAAATCATTGCATGCAAACAACCAAGGCACCAGCCTAGAAACTTTGCTCTGTAACGTGACCAAGCCTTGTCCACAGACGCACGACTTTGGTGAAAGGCCCCAGTGTGACTTCCTGTTCCATAGCGACATATCCACAAGATCTTAATATTCCAGAAGAACGCTGGCGAACAGAGAGTGAAACAACGCAGACTTATAGAATATCAACACCTCATTCTAGACCCAAACATTACCTGCACCTTCCTGGCTTTGTCATTCCTCGAAGACACCGGGGTAACCATCAGCCGCATCAGAACATCGGCAAGCCACTGCACACATCTCCTTCAGTGAATGGAAATATAAAGACAATCCACAGTGCGACCGGGGCCATACAACTGTAACTCTGGGCTATATAGTAAACCACTGTCGTGTGCATTCCTGCAACGGAGGAGGAATAGAAAAACTACACGAACTCTCTCAAGCCCTCTTTGTAGCTAACAGGGCTTGCAATTGGCATTTAGCTCCTGAACACATTGCCATACACAATATATAATGACAGGGAAATTTAAATGTGTGTGATGAGCAAGAGGCTTTCATAATTATTTCATTCCTCAAAAACAAAAATCTTATCCTTTGTCATTACAATCGCCTTCAACTCATCGGGCAGACCAGCGCGGGCATTTATCACTTTTGTAAAGGGTTGGTCGCACAGAATTTTACAGCATTCAGATTTGTGGCCGCTCTCTTTTAAATCTCACGTGCTCGATTCGCGAAGTCGTATTTACATTTTCAGTTGGCAGAGGTAGCGATTGAAATGTTTTAAGGCAAACGAGCTCGTCGGCTCATGCCAGGGCACGCACGTGAAATCAAGCGGCAACAAAGGCCCTTTGACAGGCGCTCTGCATGTTTGGCCCGTGGCTAAGTGTCTCAAACCTGATCTGTTGGTATGTTGTTGTGGAGCCTTTATGTTCCTCCCTGTTGTCTCTCCTCCCCCCGCCACCCACTCACCCCCGTTGGTAGTGTTGGTGGTGTTGGTAGTGTTGGTGGTGTTGATGGTGTTGGTAGTGTTGGTGGTGTTGATTGTGTTGGTAGTGTTGGTGGTGTTGGTGGTGTTGCTGGTGTTGGTGGTGTTGATGGTGTTGCTGGTGTTGGTGGTGTTGATGGTGTTGGTGGTGTTGGTGGTGTTGATGGTGTTGCTAGTGTTGATGGTGTTGGTGGTGTTGGTGGTGTTGGTGGTGTTGGTAGTATTGATGGTGTTGCTGGTGTTGATGGTGTTGGTAGTGTTGGTGGTGTTGATGGTGTTGGTAGTTTTGGTGGTGTTGGTAGTGTTGGTGGTGTTGGTAGTGTTGGTGGTGTTGGTGGTGTTGGTAGTGTTGGTGGTGTTGGTGGTGTTGGTAGTGTTGGTGGTGTTGGTGGTGTTGGTGGTGTTGGTAGTGTTGGTGGTGTTGGGGAGCCGGTAGTGCAGCGGTTAGCGCTACGCTGCACTACGAACCCGGCGACCCGAGTTCAATTCCCATTCACAGACAACACCATTGACGAATATCTGAACCTGTCCTGGGCTTCTTCCTCTAGGTCGACTCGGCCTCAAATGAGTGCCTAGTGCGGTGTTTAGACATCGCCACTGGCGGGACAAAGGCAGCCGGGCGTGGTATTGGCCACCCACCAACTCGTGTGCCGTGCCGGTCTTCATAGGTGCTCGCTAACAACACTTTCCCTGACAGTCTGTTGCAGGCTATAAGGGGGGGGGATCATTGTCTTTTTGGTGGTGGTGAGCTGCCAGTGTTACTTAGCCTGCGAATTTTGCGATGGCCAGCTGGATGCTAGTTATGCTCCTTACCCCCCCCCCCCCCTATGGTGGCCCCTCTCAGACTCGCTCAGTTTGTAGACGCAAGTCTCCCTGTGTTGCTTCTCTCCGTCGGTGGGCAACTAATGGCCTGACTTGCACTGCACTCTCAACAACGCAATCGGCAAACTTGACGTGCCCTTATTTTCACAGATATCTCTCTCGGGCTTTTGTGTGGTTTTAGTAAACCCAACGTCTTTTTCTCCCCTCTTTGCGTCCTGTAGTTTTGGTAAGGGACCCCAAATAGCAGGACCTGTCAAGCTAATAATGTTAAACTGCACTTAAAATCCACCGTATTAATGCCCTAATACTACAGAAACTCGACGTGGTCCCTTCTACTTAGAAGCTACATTCTTGACAAATAGATAGAAAAGTTATTCATCCACATGTTCTAAAATCTCAATATAAAGTCATAATAACGTTCCACTCCAAGTGGACCACCCACCCCTTGTGTGTGTGTGTATGCATGAATCTGTGTGTATTTGTCATTGTGTGTATATATAATGTGGGGTAGCGGTTGCGCAGCGGTTCGCGTGCTGCCGTATGAATCTGGCGACCCGAGTTCAATTCCCAATCACGGCCAACACCAGTGACGGTTCTGGGCCTCGCCTAGGTCGACTCGGCCTCAAATGAGTACTTGGTGCGGTGTGTAAACATCGCTACTGGGGAGACAAAGGTGGCCGGGCATGGTGCTGGCCACCACCCCCTCGTGTGCCGTCCCTGCCTTCATAGGCGCTACTCGCTAACAACACTGGCTTTAGGGGATATTTATTTTTGGGGGTATATATGCATGTGTGTGTATGCAATGTTGTTATGCTGAGCTACATCCTGCCTGATTTAAAATTACTTCTCTTGTCTCATTACCTAAACCTCAACCCCCCCCCCCCACCTCCCAATTTCTATTCCCTCTGTAGGGATCTCTCCTACAATGAGATAACTGAACTTCCAGAGCTGCACGACTGCAGAGGTCTGGAGGAAATGTAAGTGAAGTGACTTTAAACGCGTACACACGTATTCTTTCGGTCTTTCGGTAAAGTCACGTAGATAGGTTCAAAGAAAATAACAAAAAACTACGACGTTTCGTTCGCAACACAAGCGGGAAAAGGGGATTAGCTTCTAAAGGCAAACTGTTTACAAAGGTTTAAAATGGGCGTAGCCCAAATGTCAGTAGCATGGGGGGGGCAGCTAATGTTAATGTAAGTGATGCTGGCAGGTTAAAATTAGCATGTTAATGTAAGATCGGTGAGCGGCCTCCCCGGCGAGTGGGCTGAGGTGGCTATGTTCATGTGAGAGAATAGCTTGTTAATGTGAGAGATTAGCATGTTAATGTAAGATCGCAGAGCCCACCGCCACGTCAAGGTATGGCGTGCGAAGGTGGCTGTGTTGGAGTGAGACATTTAACCTGTTAATGTAAAATCGGAGAGCCGAAAGAATAACTAACATCGGAAGGTGGTAGGATGGGAACATCACAGCCAGTTATGACTTAAACTGGTTAATAACGACCTTACAATGATTGCTCAGTTTGTACCCATCTTCTCGGTCGAAATTATGTCTGTGTCTGTATATATGCGTACACACATACATAGGATACGGATTTGAATATATTGCCAAATGCTTATGTCCTCTTCGACCTGAGTAACGTTTGAATGCAAATGTTTGATACGCTTGAATTTCAGTCTTTCTCTGGCAAGACTCGATCATTGTCTTTAGTTCGCATCAAGTTATAATTTAGCACAATTTCACAAGTAAAACCACGTTGTATGAAGTTCAGTGTTCTTATTTCGTTGTGAGAAGTATTGCAGTCGTCTGTAGGATTAAATCTGTCTTTGCTTTGTACGTTTTGGTTTAAACTGATGGTGTCGAATACAAGAAGGCGACAATGAAGTAAATGAACTCGAGCAAAAAAATAATATTTTTTCATACCAGCATTAAGTGACTGCAAATCGCTTTTGCACAAATACGCTTATTCATTGTGTGTGTCTGTGTGCATTAGCCTGTAGAGCAGAATGTTTGACAAGCAACAAAAACACAGGCAGAAAGAAAAATGACCCGGCCTCCTAGACTAAAAACAATAACAAACATTGGGGGGGGGGAAGAAAGAATGATTAATGCCAAGTTGAACGCCGGCTCGTAGAAAGAGCAGTTTGCAGCATTCCTTGGAATGGTTCTTTTAGGAATTCCTATCCATTGGAGACACCAGTTAACTCATCGTAAATGAAAACATTGCCCAGGCTGTTGCGAATAATCCATGTTGCCATTGCGAAAAACATTTCGTATGATTCATCAAAGTTTACATGGTTGACGAGGTGGGATGGGGATGAACCAACCCATAATGGGTCCTTCCTTTCTCAAATTTCACAAAGTTGGGACAATATTTGCCTCAAGCCGAAGAACATGTTTTTATTTATTGATGTTCGGTTGGCAAAAATGCTAGATCATTTAATTGGTACTGGGAAAGTAATATATTTGGTAAAAAATAAATCGGTGGTTCTAATTGACTGGTAGTATTTTTTTAGTTCGCAAAATACATGAGTCATAGCGCGTGTTTATTTTATGAACATTTATATTTTAAAGTAAAAAAAAATAGAGCTGAGCTATTATTAATTTACAATAACATCAATTAAAGTTTAGCCCTTTTTTTCAATGGAATGTGGAATCATTGCTTTCCCACGCAGTGCCAAGTCATGGGTCGGCAGGGGTGGGCGGTGGAGGGGTTGTCATACTTCACCACGCTTGTCGGTGTAGGTTTGTGAAAGAGTGCCCAGGACCAGTTGAGATATCGCTCACCGCTGATGTTAGCCAGTTCAGAATCCTAATACTGTTAGGTTTTTTCGGTAAAGTCACGTAGGTAAAAAAATAAAATTAAAAGTTAATAAAAGTAAAAATGGAAATAAAATAAAATAATAAATCACGACGTTTCGGAGGCAACACAAGTCTCCGTCATCAGGTGGTACCGTCACAGCTAAAATGACTGCATCAAGTGTCCAGAATCTGCATCCAAATCAAGTGTCCAAATCCAAAATCCTAATATTTATTCCTATCGGAGGAATCCAATGAACTATAAAGCTCTTTTTTTTTTACAGATGTCCAGTACTTTTCAGGTCTTACCAATGTGTCGCTTTACTCAGTGTTGAGCATTTGTATTTAATCGCTTCGAATTACTTTGGAAAGTCATCTTAACCAAAACTCCCCCGTGTGCGGTGAAATGGAAAAAAAACATATGAGGTCACAAGAGCAAACCTTTGACAGTCCTACCTCAATAGGACAAGCGTAACAAATTACCTGCTCCTAAACTTTAAAGTTAATAATGATCACAATGTAGCTGCAGATCATAAATCAAAATATGGGTCTTGTGTAAGTGGTACTGATGCGATTTATGAGATTGATTTATTAAATGGAGAACTGGAAAGGCATCAATGTGCTCCCACAATAGCTGCAACTGTTAAATTATGCCTTTCAATTATTTTCCTGCAAACTACGAATAAATCTTTGAAGAGTGATGTGCGATTACTCCCTCCCCGCAGCAGTTCAATATTTTTTCCACAAACACAATGATTCAAGAGGCCATAAGCAAGCTATCAAGTTATTTTATCTTAACATAATGTACCATCCTTATTTTTAAAATGTGTGAATTCTAAGTGAGCAATGGAGCCTTCTCTAGAATTCATGCAAATGATTTGATCCTTGTTGCAGGTGTGACTGATATTATTTTAATGACATGTGTTGAATGTTTTCTTCAGCTCCTTTCAACACAACATGCTGGCTGATATTACAAACCAAACGTTCTGGGGCCTGTCTTCCCTTCGAAGCCTGTACGTACACTTAGTAAATAAAATTTCACTCGCGTTGTTATTGCATGTGTATATACTCGCATTACACAAGCACAGCTACTGTTTAAAATACTCACTTATCTAAAGCCTTTGCATTGTTCATTTGAAAGCTGATTGAAGTGTGCGTTAAGATGCTATTGCAGCAGGGTAGAAAGCAAATTAGCAATTGCTAATAGAGTATTGTCAACCCTGTTGTCATAGTACTACTGTACACTACTTTGGAACTGTAGCTGACAGTTTTTAATGTTTTAATTATTGGTTAAATAGTGTATAATAATTAGTTTAGTCTAATTAACGTTGGTTTTTGTTCGGCTTGTTAGGGTGGTTTAGCGGTAATATATCAAACTCGTATTTTTAAGTTGCATCTCAAACAAGTTTACAGTTTGTGTACATTAATCATGACTGGACTTAACCTGCTATGTATTATGTTTCGAGACTGTAGATTATGTTGTCTTTTATCGATTGAATGACTATTCAACAGGGACCTGAGTGAAAACCAGATCGAGAGCATTCACAAGACAGCGTTTAAGTCCCTCGCTTCTCTCACTAAACTGTGAGTATAACATTGTCCCGGTAGTCTTTGTAAATTCAAGCGAAACGACCAATTGTGTTTCCAGCGTATTTAAGTGTTTTTAAAGATCGTTTCCAAGGTGATCTGAAATTGTTTCCACTAAATTGACAATTTTACAATATTACTGTGTATTTCAAAGTAATAAAAGAAAAGTCCTTTTTCGTGACCCAGGAAAGCCTCAACTTACTGCCAATAATTTTGTTGAGGGTGGAACACAGGAAGATTTGGCCAATTTCTTGTCGAGTATTTAGGCATTTTAGATGAAACCCATACGTATAAGAGCAATAGCACTCAACCGGCAAAGGTACGTCAGCAACCTACTTGACAAACGAATGCCATCAGATCCAGAGGTTGCCAGTGCTATCTCCTGGCGTCGCAGCTCAAGTAATGGGGCAAGGTTTTTCAAACTCCCCCACCTCGATCCACCCAGCAAAAAGCAGTTCATTTGTGCTTTCTGTGCTTTAGTTCGTCGTCCTTCCCCCACACCTCCGATTTAGAGCGGTTGGCTGCGTTTTTTTGCGAAAGAAGTTCTACACGCACACAAATCTAACAATGCAGCCGATAAAGTGTGGGTTAATCCCACATCTTCCAAGACAATTGGCCAGTGTGGAAGAGGGCAAACTACCCTTTAAGACCTCCCTCTCGCAGGGACCAGTAGTGGTGTGAGCAAGCAATTGGCAGAGGTTGTGCCTTTTCATTTTACACGCTAGATGTAACTTTCGATTTAAAGCTTTCGTGACTGCAGGGATTCATCTTCTTGGTTCTTTCGGTAAAGTCACGCAGAAGACGGCTGCCTGCGTTGTGGCCGAAACGTCGTGAGAATTATTTTATTATTTTTTAGTTTCATTACTTTATTATTTTCCTTCTACGTGACTTTACCGAAAGAACCAAGAAGATAGATGTAACTTGTTCAAGTGACACCCCCCCCTCCCCTCAACAGCCATTAGAGGTGGTACAGTGCACCACAATAATAAAAGACAAATATTGATTCTTGATTCGAAACGTGAGTCCTGAACGTGACAAATTGATGGCTTGGGGTGGTCGTATTTGAATTGTAACAGGCCCGTTGTTTAACTTTTTCCTTTCGCCTCTACAGAGACCTGAGCTCCAACCAGCTGAGTTCCCTCCCTTCCTCGGGGCTCCAGGAGCTCACGGAGCTGAGGGTGGCTGGAAACCAAGCCCTCATGCTTTTCCCCATCAAGTCCGAGTTTCCTAAGCTTAGGTAATCCCCTGCGGCAACGTTACATCATTTGTACGCCATCCCACAGTTCGTAATTGTTGCGCACGGTTGAGGGGGCACGCGCATTATGCTGGGATGCGAACGGTTAGCCTGTTATGACATTCGATTTAAAATCCCTAACAGACGGCATTGTGGTGTGTTAACTTTGAACAATGTGTATCAAGATGATTTTCCCTTATGTTAAGGTATATCTAGTGTCAGTACTGTGGGTTAACGTCACAAAACGGAAGTTCTCTACCCAAAAGGGAGTCTGAATACACAAACGGGCTTTTAAGGAGCGTCCTGTTTTGAAATGATTAGTCAGTTCTGCTGCATACGTTCTCACGGTCGTGCCGATGCATTTTCGGGTTGTAACGCTTGTTCTTCTGCAGCGATGGGCAACGTTTGGCTCGGGACTTCTTCTTCACAGTTGAATGGAGTTGCTCACTCTCTCCCTTGATAGTATACTGTTGCCAGCTGCTGCTCGTGTGTCCGATCAGCTAGGCTCTGCTACGTACGCCAGCTGATGTTGTTAGTTTTGCTTTGTCTGCTTAACATCGGTAGGCCTGACAGCGATTATTGGAGAAAATCCATGTATTACACTGCATTCGATTGTTCTGCCGTTGATGGCGCTCATACTGGAAAAGTATCGATTTATACAATTTATTTTGGAAGCGTATTTTCCCCATTTTATTGGAGGGGGGTCTCCATTACAAACGAGCCTTTTGGCTCCGAACGTGATGTCGGCTAGTTACAAACAAAGGTCGTGGAACTTTTGATTGGTTTAATGAGTCGATTGAAACGCGAGTTGCTCCGCCGTTGTTCGCAGGACTCTGGTGGCCGCCTACGCGTACCAGTGCTGTGCGTTCGCCGACTGCGCGGACGAGAGCCAGGACTGGATCGGCAATGCCGGCAACATCCAGAAGCGCGAAGCCGGCAGCCAGACGGAGGCTGCAGGTCATTGCTCACTCAATACTGACACGCAGCTCTTCGCCAGACGCGTTCCCTAGATTTCACCGTAGTGGTGGCGTGAGCTAGCTTGAGCGGGTTTGTCACTGTGAAGACATTTATCATGCATTAGCTTGCTTTCTAGCAGAGTTTAAAGGGCAAAAAACATTCTGTTTAAAGGTTTCTGATTTCAAATAGTTTTTTTAGTTTTCCCCAAATAAACTAAATTATAAAGTAATGAAATGCAAAGCAAGGTCATTACTGCAAGGGCCTAAAGAGAGAAGCTGTTTGATATTTGAGGTGAGCCACGTTTTTTAGTTGGGGCGCTTTCTTAAGTTTTAAGTTGACCCATATGTGCAGTGCAAGAACCATCACATTTAGCCTTATTCTCATTTGTATGAACTTGAAAATCCAATATTTTAGTTTTTTAAGTTGTTTTCAAATCTTTTTAAAAAGTCCATGTTTTTGTTCAAACAGGTTCTTTTGAAAGTTTTTATTTTAATCTATATACAGGTTTAACTGTGATATTAAGTCTCAAAATGCCACCTTTTCAAAAAGGCATTTACACATTTACAATGTCAGAAAAGTGCTTAATCTTTCACAACAGTTGACTTGTGAAATGATTGACGTGCATCATCTTCATCTGATTGTCACCTGTTCCGTTGTCTTTGATTTAATAGATCCAGAAGTTGATGAGAACGAAGATTCTGATGTCCACCCGAGCGTTCATTGTACCCCAGAGCCTGGTAAGACTGTCCAGAAAAGCAAAGTTGTAACATTCAACCTCTGTAACTGATTCATCGTTTAATTTGCAGAAAATTGGGTACCTTGTACCCAAATCTATCCCAATTCTTTCATCTTTTTAAATTTAAGTGATTGTTGCGTGGACAACTTTTTACTCGCTGTCCCAAAGTTCTTTTAAACATTTTTAATATGACGGTTCTGCACACATTTGTTAACAATTATGTTAAACGGCGGTTGCATCGCAGACATCACCGTGAAGCTGTGGGTCCCGTGTACACACAGCCAAACTCGGCAACACTTTTTGGCATTTTACACACGTACAAGGTGCAGCTCTGCAATTCGAATGTTCATGCCTATGCTGGCAGAAGGGCCTCCTAAACTGAGCTCCAAAGAGCTCCTCTGACGGTTATTTGGCCTACTCTTCCATGCTGGTCAGAGATGTTACGGTAATGATAATAACAGTACACGGTAATGTTATTATCATTACCATAGCGCTTGTAAAGTCTTCTTGCCCACGTGGTTTCCAACACAAGCCCATGGCCACGAGCAGCCAACAAGCAATCCCGCGTGCTGTCTTCCCCAGGCGCCTTCAAGCCCTGCTCCAGCCTCATCGGGAACTGGCTGCTCCGCCTGGGCGTCTGGCTCATTTTCCTGCTCGCCGTCGGCGCCAACTCCATCGTGGCCGTCACCACGTTCTGCTCACCGGGCCACCTGTCAGCGCCACGCCTTCTCATCGGCTGCCTGGCCATCGCCAACCTCCTGCTGGGCCTGCACTCGGGCGCCGTGGCCCTGACGGACGCCGCCACCCTCGGCTCGTTCGGTCAGCACGGCGCGGCCTGGGAGGCCGGCGGCGGCTGCCGAGCGGCGGGCTTCCTCGCCGTCTTCGGCCTGGAGGCGGGCGTGCTGGTGCTGGCGCTGCTGTCGGCCGAGCGCTGCGCCTTCGTGCGCCGTCCGGCCGAGCGCTGCGTGCAGCAGACGCTCCTGCGCGGCGCGGCGGGCAAGCCGGCTCGCCGGGCCGGCGCCCGCGTCGCCGTGGCCGTCGCGGCGGCGGTCGCGGCCGTCGCCGCTTCCCTGCCCCTCCTGGGCGTGGGCGGCTACGGCGCGTCGCCGCTCTGCCTGCCCTTCCCCGGCGGGCGCGCGGCAACGCCGCTCGCCTACACCGCCTCGCTCGTGCTGCTCAACTCGCTGCTCTTCCTCGCCATGACGGTGGGCTACACGCGCCTCTACTGCCGGGCACGGCGCGAGGACCTCTCCGACACGCAGGAGAGCGCCACCACGCGGCACGCCGCCTGGCTCATCTTCGCCAACTGCCTGCTCTACTGCCCCGTGGCGTTCGTCAGCTTCGCCAGCGTGCTCGGTCCTCGGCGCGCCCGCCAGCCCGCAGGCCGTCAAGTCCGTGCTGCTGCTGCTGCTGCCGCTGCCCGCGTGCCTCAACCCGCTGCTGTACGCGCTCTTCCACCCGCGCTTCAAGCACGACGTGCTGGCGCTCGAGGAGCGCGCGAAGCAGCGGGTGCGCGCCTCCCGCCTCGCCCGCGCCTCCCGCCTCGCCCGCCGCTCGTCGTCCGGCGCGGGCTCCGCGTGCGACGACGGGGACGGCGGCGACCGCGGCGTCGGCGCGGGCGCGGGGCTGGGCGACGACGACGACGGAGCCGCGGGCGACGAGCCGCGCAGCCCCATGCTGCCGCCGCCGTCGGCGGAGCGCGGCGCCCGCACCGCCTTGATGCTGGCGGAGAGGGGCCGGTCGACGGGGGTCACGGCGGCCGGAGCGGGGGTGGCCGTGCTGGGCTGCGGTGGAGAGGGCGGCGCGGCGGCGCCGGGCGGCGGCGGCTGCACGGACGCGGGCCACGCACACAGGCACAGCGACTGCCCCAGCGAGGACGACTCGTTTGTGTCGGACAACTCGGATCAGCTGCAGGAGTGCTCGCGCTCCTGCTTCAGCCAGGGCCGAGGGCTGCCCCTCGTGTCGCAGTTGTAAGACGCGCGCCCGCCAGGATTTCATCCGTTGTTTTATATGTAATTTAGTGCGCGCGCGCGTGTTTGTGTGCAGGTCTCTGCTTTCTGCAGGTAAAGAGATTCTCAAAGCTTTGTTTCTTCCATAGCAGTTAATACATTATTGTATCCGAGGTATAGTCAGAGTCGTCTTTCCACTCTCTGCATTTATACCTCAACAGTGAAAAGAAATGGAATTCTGTCGAACGTTGCTACGAACGGTGCCCTTCAGCATTGCGTGTCGCTAATGAACACAAGAGAAACAGCCACTCTGACATCTCTTGGACCACCCATGACTTTTCACCATTAATGACTGTGGGTTTCTACTCAACGCATTGATTCAGTCCCCGCTGTAATACACTTGGTTGGATGAGCAGTTAATTGGACAAAAATGAACCTTGAACCGTTGCGGCGGTTACACATCCATCGGCTGAGGTGCATGCCTAGCAAGTGGCAAATTCCTCTCATTTAACGTTTAATAAAAACTGACAAAAGCCAGTAATTTCACGTGAACATTTCACAACCCCTCCCGAATGCTGCTTGTGCCTCGCTTGACTTCATGCCTGCCTTGAGAAGAAGGACGACCCATTTGTGAATTATCCTAACAGTGTCATAAAACCAAGGGTTCCTTATTTTCCACGTTGTCCTATTCCCACGTCGTTGGGGTTTAAGCCGTCTCTCGAATCTATTTATTTCTCCTCCGTTTTCCCCACCGTCGTGTAAATTGCCCAACAGAAGTCGCCGTTCACCCCCCCCCCCCCCCCCCACGTCGAGCATTGCGCGCCGCGTCATCTTCGCAAGAGTTGGCGGCGCCGCGTGTCGACCGCCTCGCTTAAAATGTCGACCGTTTTCTCTTTTTTCTTGCGTCAGCGAGTCGCATTAATATTGCTATTATGTGTGTAAACTAAAAACATTCTCGCGTACTCTACGGTTAATTTAATGGAATCACACAATCAAAGTTACCACGATGCTTAAAGGAAACGTTAATTCAAGAAAGTGAGGTTTCTTCAGCCAAACCATCTGATGCACAGTGAGCGTTTTGGGGTAAAACAATATATACCTACCAATATAGAAAATGACCTTTTTAACAAGGAGTAATTTCCAGCTGAGTATATTCAATGTGGGTAAAATTTGTTGGTTTTGTTATTGCTGTCTACATTAGGAGCATTTTGATGAACATAGACATGGTTTTTCTTTTCTCAAATTGCTAAATCTTTACAGAGCTCTGTAGTTAATAGTGTATTCACATGATTCTCTTAACAGGAAATTTTTAAGGGTCTTACCCAAAAATGTAAAGCGTGTGTGGAATTCACACAATGTTTTTTTTGGCTGTGAAATTGTTGCTTTTTTTTTTTCAACAGTGAGCTATTTTATATTGCAAATGGAACACACATTTTTTAAATAAAAAAATATTATCTGTAGAATAACAAAAAATAGTTTAAAGGGAAGGACACATTGTTGTTTTATAGCAAAGGTAACATATATCTGAAATATTAACACATGCAATTAGTTTGCATTGGCGTTTGAGTGAAATACGTGAAGTCCCTTGAAAGATCTTTAGCGGCAAAAACGTAAAGGGGGACTGCGTTCAATTTTCTCTAAAAAAAAACGCTGCACGTTCAGTTCTCATACCGGCTACAAGTCGCTTCATATCAACAGTTGTCATTCAATTGTGTGCTCACTTTAAGTTCGAGAACCCACTGGTGATTTTCCAACACAAATTAAGGTCACGTCAACAACCTGTAGATGTACGGTCTTTGCATCGGTTAATTTTGATTCTTAATCTGCATGATCCATAAAATATAAATGGCAGAATTTGTGTTCCAATTAGTGTACTCTGTAAAGTCACGTGACTCCTGCAGCCACTCGCGGCTGCTTGCGTTCACCACTGTTTAAATTAACAACAACAAGAGATTGAGTCCGATCGCGACCCTGAATCGCGACCATTGGGGCTAAGCATTACACCGCAGAGATGGATATAGGCAATGTAGATGTCGCAGAACACACACACACACAATATATAATAGTAATAACCATGTGGGATGCTTGGCTGTCTTAAGGTTTGTAAATGGAAGACATGATGTGCAGCATCATGCCACCTAATAAACTCGTATCGTGTACTGTATTTTTATAGACAACACTTGTATAGCACTTTTGTGTGTGTTTGACCGTATGCTACACCTAATACCCATTTATTTTATACTCGGTTTTGTTGATAAGTTGAAAATTTGTTAATTTATGTTGTTTACAGACCATAATTAAGCTTTGGATGTGAAATTATCGTGTTTTTGAATTGAGATGTGTGTGTATATAATCCCTGTCTCGTTTTCATTGCTTAAGCCCAACTTGTGTGCAGAAACTTGCCCAACCCGTACTGGACGGGTTGGGCAAGTCTCCGTTAGCAACACCAGCCGTTGAATGATGGTAAATGAAAATGATTATGTAAGGTTGCTGTTTGACCAAGTGTCATCCTGTCAGTTTTTGCTCATCAACCCTCATATAGTCGCCATTCCTTGATGCTGAATAGTTCTCGCGGATAGTTAAAGATGTATAAAGGGGCGTTTATCAGTATAATCTTCTTCTCGTGGCCTGGCCACCAGTCAAATATGTATCCAGTATGGGGCACGTGATGATGATGATGATGATCTGGCCCAGTCTCTGTCGCCCTTGTGAGGTCCTCCGCGGTGCGCCGCTCCTCCAGGAGCTTACGGAGCAAGAGATGCTTCCCCGGTCTGCCTCTCTGTCTCCACAGCAGCACGTGGTGTCATTGTTGCTGGAGTAGTATCACTTTTGCACGTTAACCCTTGAGCTGCCAAGTCCTTCGCAGTGTTCATCAGTGCAAGGCCTGCGAGCCACTCTCGGCCCCTGGTGGCCTTGAGTGCCGCTCCTGACGTGCGGCCCCCGACAATACACAACGAGTGAAAACACCCCATTTGTGCTGTCAAACCCAATGGTGTCAAATGTGTGGCCGCCCTTATACTGATGTCTTATCGGCAAAAGTGCTCCCCCCTGATAATTAATTAGTGAAGAACACTGACCTCAACATTCAGTTTGACCGATCTTGCTCCGCACCAGCAGCGGGGGGACCGTGTATGCGTTCAGTGTCATGCACGGGAAAAAAAAGACTCCGCGTGCTCCAGCACACAGTAGGTTTTCGATTTGTCAGCATTTTTGGTAACGGTATTAGTTGGGAGAATGCACTACAATCACAATTTACAAAAAAACTATTTTGAATGATGTAGACAAACAAGATGCACGTAGAAATCTGATAACTGGTGGTGTTATCAGTTGTGATGGTGAAAGACTTGTTGGGCAAAACTGACTGACCTTGCATAATATTTCATTGCATATTACGTACAATATGTGCACAAATCATGTGAACATTCTACCTGCTTTTTACTAGACGTTTGTCGTGTTGTTGTATTTTCTCCTTACTCTGCATTGTGTATTGATATCAAGCCAGGCTGGATCACCATCTCCTGAATTCAAACCAAGTCTATTTGTTGACATAAGCCACATACGGCAAGCCAAAAGTGTAATAATCTAGTTTATTAGACAAACAGTACATTCATATAAAGTATGTCCTTAAATCAAAAGGCCCTCTTAGAATTATTGGTTGCAGTGAAATGAAAATTAAAAATGCATTACGAAATGTGGTCGTAAACAGTTGTGGAGCTACTCGCATTTGTGAATGAAATAGGTTTGCTAGTAAATTGTAGAAAAGTCCAATCAAATTGTTTATGTTATCGAGAATCAAAGTCGTTCAATGACCAGTTTTAGGATAGCTAAATACGTATAAGTAACTTTGAAAGCTCCTTCTGTATTGACTCCCAACACACAAATCTCAATCGGGGGAAGCTCCCCCATTAAATCAACAAATTCCATGGCATTGACCTAACATGAACGTAGTCATGATTATTAACGTAAATAAACACGACGCAATCGTGTGTTTTTAAAAAAATGTACACAAACTCAACTATGTCCTTCCAATAATTTACATTAGGGTTGTTACCATACATCGAATTGAGATTCCCAAGGCTCACGATAACATGCGCAGTCGTATTCCGCATGTGCAAAGCCGTGTTTTTCTTTTTAAGCAAATTGTATACAAATAAAAATTGGACCATGTGGTGAATCTGTACACCCCTAATGTATAAACCATTTCCAGCATGTTGGAACAAAGTGCTCTGTTCCCGGATTTTAAACCAGTGGTCATCCCCACAAATTGTTCAGCGCCTTGTTTGGACACTGTCAACGTTCTTTGTACCGCTTTTCCATAGGTTTGTAAATATGTACAGAATCGTTTAGAGTATTTATTGCAAGCACTCAGGCACAAGTGTAATCTTCTTCTCTTGTCTCTGGGAGTGACATCGGATGTTAAAACTACCTCTCGTTCTGCTGCTTTGGGTCTTTAAAAAGAAAACGCCTGGTTTCATGTGCTGGAGGCTTTAGCTCCTATACTTTGTGGATTTTAGTTTAACTCATGCCTCTCATTGCGAATGAGATCTTCCTGTGTTCGATATGTCCTCACGCATACCCTCGTGAATTTGAGATGCGTTTCAAAATAATGAAAACAAAACTGACCATTAAAATAGCGTAAAGGTGTGTACAATCCATAATAAAGTTGTTTTTAAATGTTATCGCGTAAATATAAATGTATCGTTAAACCCGCCACCACCCGACACAGCCAATTAGTAAGGTTTGTCACGGACACAAATCGTGCCAATTAGTTACAACAGTACAAACGTTGTGTTGGAGGGTAAACCCACAACATTTACAATTCCAGTACTACGTTTCGCTGGTGATTACAACCAGCTCCATCAGGCCATATCCAGAATTGTGAAGAAAAAGGTGTATACAATGTATGCTGAAGGTTTTCAAACACACCCACGTGCGTATTTGGACTCTTTAAATGGGGAAGATCATGGCTACAGTGGAAACTTCCATAAGATGAATGTCCCTTTGATATTCAACACGAATCCTACGAGAAATTTGTATTAAATTGCGCCACTTCTTTGTGTGCACCATAACGTGACGGTTCAGAACTCGAGTTGAGTTTTATCTTGGCGTGTTTGGCCATTGTGTTTTCCATCGTGCAACAGAAAAGGGGCAATGGAATGAAAAAAGAAATGGAAGGTCACCATTGCAAAAGAGTCGATTGGTTTATTGGTCTAAATTGGGTTATTTCATTTGGTGAAAGAAACGATACCGATGGTCATACAATCCCTTGTCATTAACGAACCGGGAAATATTCAATTTAAATAATGTTCCCATTTTCACGCCCATGTGTGATGTGCCTGTGCTACGGAAGTCTACAATTTAAATGGGAGGTGTGTGTGTGTATACTGTATATACATTGTTTCGGACGTGTATTAAAATGTATGCTGTTGCATGGTATGTTAATAAACTTTTTTTCTACAATTACTTGTTATAAATTAGTGCTTCGTTGATTTTCACGTACAATGTGTTATCAAATAGCTGCACATTTGAAGTGAAATGTATTTATGTTAATATAAGGTGAATTTAACTACATACCCCAAAGACATTCGTGAGATATATTGCAAGGATATGTTTCTGTATACCGTATAAGAGTCTGAGTGGAGTGGTGGCACAGTGGTTAGCACACTGCTTGGAATCCAATAACAGATCTCAGCTACAATGAATAACGTTAATTATAATCTGAACTAGTTCTGGGCTATATCCTTCAACCTGCACAAACCAGCGGATGGTCAAATCAACCCCCACAACTCAGAATCAGAATAATTGTTTTACTGAAGGAATCCGATGAGCTAGTAAAGCTCTTTTTCGGTGGCGTGACAAAAAAGGTCTATACGTTATGTTTTAGTCGTAACTCGTTAACAGCAAATATTCCAATTAAATTGTATCCACGTCGCAAACAGGTGTATAAGGTATGCGTGTCATTAAACAGCGCCGAGTATAATGTCCAAAACACAGAGGCTCTGGGCTTATATGTATGTACGTATGTTGAACTTCTTTCGCACCGTACATCTCCAACCGTGCTAATCGTAGGTGCTTAAATGGACCTTGTGAAAAGCCAGCCCACGTCGTATGGCAGCAGCCTTCATCATCGATTCTCCTCCTCTCTCTTCACAGGCTCAGCTCGCTGCAGGTGGAACGCATCAATTGCGGGGTCTGCCGCTCCCTTCTTGTTTGAAGAACATTTATTGTTTGTCTTTCCCCCACGCTCCGTCCCAGTGGCTCGCCACATGCACACTCCGGGGACTCCTCGCGAATGAGTCAACAATGTTATTAATTGTTATTAGTATACCCAGTAGCGTAACCCCCCCCCCCCCCCATGTGGCTAAAGCTACGAGTTAGGGGCCCCCCTTGACAACCACCATGAGACACACTTAAGCGGTTGTGCTTTCGCTACGTTGTCCCCACCTGGAGAAGGACGCTTGTGTTGCGCCCGAAACGTCGTGATTTAATTTAGTTTTCATTTATTTTATTTGAAATTTTTACCTACGTGACTTTACCGAAAAAAATTAAGAGTAACAGTGCCATGAGATATGTTTTCAACAACTATGTAAAAGGAACCAAAAGCTTACTTAAAAACCCGCTTTTTGATTCATGTTTTATGAAAATGCTTTCATTTACGTTCCGCGTTTTATTTTAATTACATTAGAGCAGTAACGTTTGGCTTCCGCAAAAATTGCGCATCGCACGGTTTTGAAGACGGAGCGCCCATCCTACAGCGTTAAGTCTTCGAGACCGCGATGCGTAACGACGACGCGAGTCGGCAAGAGGAGCCGCGATAAATCATATCCACTGAGTGCGGCCGTGCGAGACCGATTCAATATTGGGCGGGGGGCCCCCACCTGACCGATTTCCGCACTCCCTGAGCTGATAACGTCGTTACCACGCCACCGATGATACCCGGACCCCGCAGTGACCTTGGCTGGCTTGCACAAGCACCGCTGGACAATGTCCAGTCGATGTGCCCTTGGACGAACATAAACAAAAACATTTTCGGAGCAGAATCTCGTCACTCCTTTTTGGAACGCTGCTCAGACACCAAGACCCGAGTTCGACTCCCGGTCACGACCAACATCAGTGGCGAGTGATAATCTTAGTAGGTTAAGCACTTTCCCCCGCCCGCGTTGGGTCAATGGCCCACCCCTCCAGTGACAGGAGACACGCGAAACGGGAACAAATATGCTCACGCCATGATGTGAGACGAGACGCAGCCAGGCAAACGCTGTAACCAGTGAGATCGAACTACTAAATAATAACGAAACAAGCCGTATAAATAAATTGTATCCGTGACAATCTGTTACTCCTATTATCATCGGGACCTGTAGGATCAGTAAATAAAACAACTCAAATTGTGGCCATGTTCTCCCTTTTGTTCGTGTGTTGCTTTGTCCCGCATGGCCGAATGTCTTGCCAACATCTGTAACGTTTTTTTCCCTCCATGGACAATTTCACATCCTACCAAAACCACGGATAAACCGGCTGGCTTCGCGGATAAAATCTCGGACAATAGGATCTGTCCCCCAATCTGCTGTGATTGTCATCGGCTAAAGTAGAAAAAAATATCTCTTCGATGTGCGACTGTGGTCATCCGGAACAGATCGTAACAACGTAGAACGACGCGATGCCCCGATCCACACGGACGAAAGAGACATCACAGCGATTCACTCCGCGACTCATGACGCAGGTTAACTGACTTTGACCACCTGAATGTGGAAGTTGTAGCTGTAGCTCTGCGTCCACATCAAGAGCCGTACAGCAACAACAACAAGTGGAATGTGCTCTGTTTGCTGCCTCGACCCAATGAATCGTCCTCCCTTCCCCCCCCCCGGCAACACAACCAGCAAGCTGAACATTGTGGGAAGGCTCAAGTTGGTGGAGACAGATACTGAGGTCGGTGCTTGCAATCTGTTCCCAGCGCAGGGCTCGGTGTTATGTCTGTGCCTTGCCGACGCTGTGAGAACAAACACACTCATTCGAGGAGACCCAGGCAAACATCGCACCTCCCTAACAATTCCTCCTCCACCTCCCTCCTGGGAGACACCGGCGGTGTAGCTGTCAACCGCAACAGACGATTAACAAACAGGCGGAATGCGCACGGCTCCATCGCGAATGGAAAATCAAAGACGAGACCCATAGCAGAGTGGGATTGATATTGTCGTGCAACCCAAACTGCGGGCCGTATCGTAAACAACTGTAGTCTGATAATAGGGTTTTTCCCCTGTTTTCTGGCAACAAAACTGAAACCTTTTTACGAGGATTCAAGTCTGCATTAACCACAATACTTGCAGTCAAATGCAAACAAAAAACACACTGATAATATATGCATTGTCCTTGAAACTGATTGGTCCACACCAACGGAGGAGGACCAACAACAAAATTACACGAACTATATCTCTCTCCTGGAGCCCTCTCGTCACTGCTAGCACACCTCGACATTGACACGTGTATCTATGCTGAACGTCTTTGGCGTGCAAATCGGAGGTGCATAAACGTACCGCGTGAAAAGCCAGCCGCGTCGCGTGCGAGGGAAGAGACAACAAAACCGAAACTGGTGGAAAACAACTGCTGGTCATCAATTCGCAACGGTGGAATAGCGTGAGACCGTGCGATGTGAAGATATCGATCGTTGCCGCTCGATAACGCCGCTGTTGATTCGCACCAGGCGCGGTCACTCGGGCAAAACTCGCGATTTCCCGAGCGCCCCGTGCGTCTTGTGCGCGTCGGGCCACGCGCGCTGATAAATCCGCGCGCGTGGACCCAGGGGGCATCTTGTGTGTGTGTGTTCGTGTGCAGCACGTGGATTAGGCGGTGCTAAGACCTCGGGGCAACTAAGATCTTTCGATTTAAAGCTTTCGTGACTGCAGGGATTCATCTTCTTGGTTCCTTCGGTAAAGTCACGTGAAGGGAAGAAATAACATAATAAAAATAAAACATAATAAAATCAAATAATTCTCACGACGTTTCGGCTACAACGTTTCGGCTACAACGCAAGCAGCCGTCTTCAGGTGAAGACGGCTGCTTGCGTTGTAGCCGAAACGTCGTGAGAATTATTTGATTTTATTATGTTTTATTTTTATTATTTTATTACTTCCCTTCTACGTGACTTTACCGAAAGAACCAAGAAGATGCAACTAAGATCGTGAACTCTTCGCTCGGTGCAGAGGTTTTACGCATCAAATCCGCCGACCGCCCCGATTAACTACCGCTGGTTTATTAAGCTTGACAACAACAAAAACAACACGCTTCGCAGTTGGACGCTAAAGATACCTGTGACAATCACTCGCAAGAGTAGCCCCCATTGTGTGCCCAGCCGTCCCGTGTCCAGAATTTGCCACGTTTGGAGAAAAAAATTGCCACATTTGAAAAATTGCCCGCAAAAAATTCTCAATTCGAATTTGCATGGAAATCGTCGCCCCCCCCCCCCCCCACGGCGAACACTTGGTAGGACCCCCCCCCCCCGACCCTGAAAGAAGAGACACGAGACTGGGGAGGCTATC